AGACACTTTAAATTAAAATTGATAAAGATTAGATTAGGAACCTCCCCAAAGTTAAGAGTTAGGGAAAGGTTTTGTTTTTTGTTTTTCCAGGAAAATAAAAACAACCATCTTGAGGAATTTAAAGGCCTATGCACAAATAAGCATTCAAAGAAGAATGGAGAATTACCATGTAAAATTGCCAAGAAAAGGCATTGACCTAATGTAATCTCTGAAGTCTCCAAAAACTTGATAGAACCCCACAATGATGATTCCACCAGGACTATAGTAACACCACTAAGCTGAAAATAATCACCTAAAGGCCAACTTGGACTACAAATTAGCTGAGAGGAGACTAACTGAGGTGACCCAGCCTCACAGACTACTCTATCCAGTACTTGAAACAAGCCCTAAACTTTCCCATTTACACAGAGATTGGACAGCAAGCAATACAGCTACCTCTCCCAGGACTTGACAATTAACCCCAAATTTTCTTTTCAGGATCCCCTAAAGATGCTGTCATTCCCCAGATAGCAGGAAGTAAATTTAAGAATAGGATGTCTACATTCCCAAGTGGTGGTGTGGATACTTTTTAGTCTTATATTGGATAATGAATATTTGTCATTGTTTAGGAGAATTGGTTACAAGTTGTTATTGGTAATCAGGAAAAAAATTAAACAAAGGAGATTAGATTCTGGGTTCTTGTTTTGAAAAGAGAAAAGGGGGATACAGATATGATAGGATAAAAGGGGTAGATTACTGACTTTACTCTGAAAAAAAAAGAGAGGATATAGATATAAGATAAAAAGGTAGATTATTGAATCTACTTCCAAAAAGCAAATACTAGTTTTAAATTAGATTGGACTTTTGTATATTGCATATAAATTGTATATTGCATATAAACACAGAGTTTAATTTTGTTAAAACATGCTGTTCAATGGTTCTAGTCTTGTTTAAGTTATTGTACCTATACCCATTTAACAATGTAATGCAAATTTCTAGTCCTTGAAAGTTATTATTACCAACTATATATATAATAAGGAAATACAGGTTGTTATTAGTCACCTATTACAATCGAATTTATAGTCATATTAGGTATGTTTACAAGATCAAACAGATATATTTTAGATAGATCATCTTCAAATACTTCAGCGATCTACAGAATATAGCATTTAAGGTGTTTTAATAATATAGGTTCTTTTATGACAATGAAACATTTCTGCTCCAGTCTACTTCAGCAAAGATGATAGGCACTGAAGAAGCTCCATATGGACTTTACTTTCTTTGTGGCAAAAGTAAGCCACTGGGAAAGAAAGTACTCTTGCCTCAACTGCTGACAGTATGCTGTCCAAATAGGACAAGCAGGACATAAAAGAGAGTGACTGCCAAACCTTGCCAAGATAAGGTGAGATAGTCTTTCAAAAATACTGCTTTGGTCAGGCAGTGGTGGTGCATGCTGATTCCTAGCTCACAACCAGTAACTCCAGCTCCAGGGGAATAGATGCCCTCTTCTGGCTTCAGCAGGCACTAGGCATACATGTGGTACACAGACATACAAGCAGGCAATAATAAGATAAAATAATAAAATTATTGCTGGGCAGTGGTGGTGCACACATTTAATACCAGCACCTGGGAAGCAGAGGCAGGTGAATCTGTGAGTTCAAGATCAACCTGGTCTACAAAGCTACACAGAGAAAACCTGTCTTGAAAAACAAAGGGGGTGAAGAGAGATTGTTCAGTGGTTAAGAGCTCTTGTTGCTGTAACAGAGAATCCCATTTGGTTCCCAGTACCCATGTTAGGCAGCTTACAACCATCTATAACTCCTGTTCCAGGGGATCCCACACCATCTTACTCATCAGTAAAAATAAAAATAAAACATTTTTAAAGAGAAACTCATAGGCATTTCTAAGGCATACTTCTGGGTGTGTCTGTGAAGATGTTTCTAGAGTTGGCTAAATAACAAGGAGGAAGACCCACCTTGAGTTTGGAGCATCATCTCATGGGTGGGAGTCTCAGAACAAAAGGGAAACAGGAGAAAGTCATTTAAGCCCCATCATTCCACCGGTCTCCTGGTTGGCCATGATGTAAACTAACTTCCTGTTCTGAGCTCCCTGGACCAAATCCTCTGCATCTCTGAAATAAATCTTTCCTAAGTTATCTATGTCAGGTAGTCAGGTATTTTATCTCAGTGATAAAAAGAAATAAATGCAGGGCTGAAGAGATGGCTCAGTAAAGAAGGTCACTTGCTTTGTGAGCATGACAACCTGTGTTTAAATACTCAACACCTATACAAAAAGCCATGCATGGCTGTTTGTGTCTGCAACTCCAGTATTGTCAAGACAGATAGAACCTGAGAGCTCACTGCTTAGCTAGCCTGGGTAAGACATCAAGGTTCTGATTAAGGGAGACACTGTCTCAAGGCAATGACACAGTAATTGTGGTGGTTTGAAAGAGAATATCTCCCAAAGGCTCATGTATCTGAAAACTTACTTCCAGTCCATGCTGCTTTTTGGGGAGGGTTGGAGGTGGGGGGGTGTTATTGCTGGTGGAAGTAAGTCACTATGGGCAGGCTCTGAGAGTTTAAAGATTCCAGCCACTTCTAGTTGCTATCCATCTCTCCCTTAATTTGTTTTGTTTTGAGATGGAGTTTCTTTGTGTAGCCCTGGATGTCCTAGAACTAGCTCTGTAGACCAGGCTGGCCTTAAACTCAGAGATGTACCTGCCTCTGCCTCCTGAGTGCTTGGATTAAAGGTGTGTGCTGCCATCACCGTCTAGCTCCCTTAAATTTTTGTAGATTTATTTTATTGTGTTATGTGTATGAGTGTATGTATGTGCACCATGTGCGTGCCTGGTGTCCTTGAATATGGTGGCAGAAGAGAAATTCAGACCCCTCAGAAATGGAGTTACAGATAGTTTCAAGCTGCTATGTGGGTACCAGGAACTGACCTCAGGTTCTTTGGAAGAGCAACAAGTTTTTTTGTTTGTTTTGTTTTTTGAGACAGGGTTTCTCTGTGTAATAGCCCTGGCTGTCCTGGAACTCACTCAGTAGACCAGGCTGGCTTTGCCTCCTGAGTATTGTGAGATATCCACTCCACCCATATACCTGTTGCACTGACCATGCCCATTGTAGCAGGTGTGGGCGTGACCAGGGAGGGACCTGGGTCTGAGGTCTGGGACCCCAGCTTTCTCTGTCTCTTGCTTCTTGGTTGGAGACAGAGAGCATCCGGAGGCATCCTTGGGACGGGAACCTGTGGCGGTCATCTGTTTCTGGTGAAAGTGATTTCTCCCCAAGTAAACATCCATCAGCCTATCGTTTCCCAGATTCTTATTTATCACGTTATATCTGAGTGCTGGCAACAAGTAATCTTAACTGCTGAGCCTACTCTCTTTTTGTGTTTGTGGTTCAAGATATGAGCTCTTAGCTTCCAGTTCCTGCTTCGAAGGACTGTCTGCTGTCATGCCTCCCTGTCATGATGGTGGTGGACCATTATCCCTTTGAAACCACAATCCGAAATAGCACCCCACCCCCACCCCCTGCTTTTTTCTGTATAACTTGTCTTGGTCATGGTATTTTATCACAGCAAGACAGAAGTTGGGACCAAGATTGGAGTGTTGCTGTGACAAAGCTGACCATGTTGGGTTTTTTTGGAGGAATATGGGAAACTTTGGGACTTTGGTCTAGAAAAGTGTAAGTGCCTGTTCTATTGGCCAATGAAGTCCTAGAGTTCAGGAACATGAAAATAAGAGGATCTGAAAAGTGATGTCCAACATTAAAGTTTTCCTTGGCTCCTGAAAAAATGAAAAAGTAAGTATAAAATTATGAATGTATATGTATGTATGAATAGGGAAACAAGGATTTCTGACATCTTGATTTTTTTCCTCCACCCTCTTTACTTTTATATTTTTAATTTTCAAAATTAGCTGGTTTTTTTTTTTTTTTTTTGGTTTTTCAAGACAGGGTTTCTTTGTGTAACAGCTCTGTTCTGAATCTCCCTTTGTAGATCAGGCTGGCCTTGAACTCAGAGATCCACCCATCTCTGCCTCTAGAGTGCTGGGACTAAAGGCATTTGCCACCACGCCTGCCTCTTTTTACTAAAATATATTGTGTGGGGCTGGAGAGATAGTTCAGCAGTTAAGAGCACTGGTTGATCTTACAGAAAGCCTAGTTCAATTTCTAGAACTTGCATGATGGTTCACAACTGTTTACAACTCCAGGTCCAAGAATTCCAACACCCTCTTCTGTCCTCCAGGCAGGTAAGAGATGCACAGACATAAATACAGGCAAAGCACCCATCCACACACTTTTTTAAAGGGGGGGGGTGCCTGACCCAAAGGCCAGCTGTCTTTCTTGATCGCTCTCCATTTTACTTGAGAATAGTCTAGGGAGCCAGTTTGCCTATCACCTTGCACATGCGGGGATTACCATCCCTGCCCATCTTGTTAGCGTATTATTCCTTGAACTATCGACATCGAGCTCACTTCTAGCAGAGGATGACTTTGAACTTCTGATTTTCCTGTCTCTACCTCTCAAAAGCTGGGATAATGCATGCATCCTCACGTTCAACTACAAGCAGTGCTAGATTAGAAATCCAGGCGAAGTGCATGACAGGCAAGAACTCTAACAACTGAACTACACCCTCAGCTCCTGCTTTTCCTTTTCTATTGCTTTGAAATTGTGAAATTACAGAAATTCTGCTGTTTATGAACTCCCAAATGCAAGGAAATACCGAGCTATACTCCGGATTCTCCAAGCGGTACTTACTGAGCCACACGGTTATTTCCATAAGGACTCAGTATTCAAACACATCCAGGACTGGATCCAGTTCACCAAACAACTGAGCCGCGGTTAATGACAGGAAACGAGGGAGATTGGCAGGTGTATCGCGGAGTTAGAAACTGAGGCCTGCAACCAGCGAGCTCGTGGGCTTTGCTTGGCCTTAAGGAAGCCCCGCGTCATGTGATCCCTGGGCGGAACCAGCGAGGCCAGGCTCCTGCGGAACGTACACGCTCTCGGTTTTGCTTCCCGCCGGAAGCTTTAGCGGAGCTCCCCGGTCCCCGGAGGGGGGTGGGGGGGGGGCAGTGGCGGCAGCTGGGGCTGCAGAAGCAGCCCGGAGGTCCGGAAGTCAACATCATGTCGAGTCTGCACAAGAGCCGGTAAGGAGACCTGAGGGCAGGAATGCCCTAGACTGCTTTGGCCCGGCCGCGCCTTCTCCCGACGGAGCTGCTCAGCGCATGTGCGGCCAAGAGTAGCCCCCACCCCCGGCGGAGGGTCCCCAGCGCCCACTTTACAACATCATTGCCTGTGTGGCAATGGGGAGAGGCAGAGATGCTTCTCTTATGTTAGTGTCACCTTTCTTTCTCGCTCTGGACCCCTTTCCCTCATTCAGACCTCTATGACCCTCCTCACTTCCTGGCTCCAGGATCCTCTTTTCCCCTCAAATACTACTGAGAAACACTAGAGAGAACCCAGATTCTCCAGTCTGACCTCTTAACGCCTCCCCTCCCCCGCCACCCGACTACTTCTTGCAGCGCCGGCTAAATTTTGCTCACTTCAGGGCTAATTTTTAGCCTTTTGTCCTTGCCTGAGCGCAGGCCCAAGAAATCTGTGCCCCAACTTCCCCAACCAAGAGCTATGAGAGTGATGGGGAGTTTGTCAGTTCCGTTGTTTGTAGATCAAATTACTCCCGGTTTTGAAGCTTGGTTGTGTGAATTCAGGTAATGGTGTGCTATGGCCTGGGCTTGGCCACAGCAAGTGCCCAGGAAATGCCAGCTCACTAACAGTGGGAAGTGCTTAGTGTTAAGGTCTCATTTAAAACCGTTTTGACTAGAACATCTCTCGTTGCTCTTGGTTGGTATTGCAAACTTTAGACGAGGAAACTTGTATTGCCCACTTCCCTAAGCTAGAAGTTGGAGACTGTTAGGGTAAGGGATCTGTGGGCTGCAAAATTGGTCATTTGGGGTTTCCTTTTCTGTCCTTGAAGGATTGCAGATTTCCAGGATGTCCTGAAGGAGCCTTCCATTGTGCTAGAAAAACTTCGAGAACTCAGCTTTAGTGGTAAGGCATAATTTTACCTGGGGTTTTTCTGGAATAGCATTATGGCTAAGATGGAGGGGAAGCATCAAGAAAATAGCCTGATTTCATAGAGCTGCCTGGATGCTGTAGGAGTGGTAACCACCCTTTGTCCATAGAGAGGAGGCCCCTGGCTCCCCAGATTCCCTGCAGTAGCCTGAAGACTGACATGAGGGTGACTTTTTAAGCGTTTGTCATTTCTCAACTAGTTTAAGAAGTTGCAGGGTGGTTCCTGGTTCCTCTACCTGACTTTGGATCAGAGTTGGGAGTGACCTTTGGTTAATGCTAAAACACAAGCCTTAGAACACCAACTTTAAGGAGTTGAACATCAGCCATGTTTGACTTTGCCCTTCCTCACATGGTTAATGTTTCAGCACAGAGATAGCTGGCTTTTTATCCTGTGTGTAAAAACAACCCAAGGTGTTCGTATAGCTCCTTGTGGCACTACTCTGTCTGCTAATGTTGCCAGGAAGGAGTTTAAGTCTCTTGGGTGGTGCAGATTTCTGAGTTGGGAGCATTGGCTCAGTGTCACAGTGCCAGGGAAACCATCATCAGAGCTGTTCTTGGGAGGTTCCAGGCAGCATTGCAGAAGTTGACCTTCCCATTCTGGAGTGGTGTGGAGGCCCCAGTGGGGTGGCTGTCTGTGGTGATCGTGCAGAGCTTGGGTGGCTCGTTACACTTGTGTCCTAATCCTTGGTTGCTCTGTCAAAAGATAAGTTTCTTTATCTGTAAGTGAGGATGAGAGAGCTAATCTTCCATACTTACTGGAACTAAAATTGGATAAGTGAAATCATGGCTGTCTGGCACAGAGCTCTTAACCTGACAGTTTGGTTTGAATTTCACAAATGTAGAATGCCATTTGTGCCATGTACTAGGCATAGGACATCAACATATGCTGTGTGTCTGTCTGAGGCCTCTCCATTTGTAGTCGTTACACACATTAAGTTTATACTCAAGTTTTAATATAACTCCAGTTGTGATGAGTGTTATAATAGAGAGCCACAGAGCCATTGTATATAAGCAGAGACATTAATACCCAGCATAGTGGCTCATACTTTTAATCCCAGAAAGGGAGGCAGAGGCTGGTGTACATAATTGAGTTCTGGCTCAGCCAGAGGTATATAGTGAGACCCGTCTCAAAAAATAAATAAAAATTGAGAGAGACTGAGTCTGGGCATGTCATTCAGTTCATAGAGTGTTTGAATGGCATGAACAGAGCCCAGCACCCCATAACCTAGACACGGTGGCCAAATACACCTGTAATTCTGCCACTCAGGAGATGGAGGCAAGAGGAAACCATGTTCCTCCTTGGCTCCATAGTAGATTTGAGGCCAGCCTGGGCTATATGAAACTCTACTCCCTTCCCCAAAATAGAATATGACTTTGAACAGAGTTGGTAGCTTATAGTGGCCTCTTGGAAGAATAAATACCAGAGATGAGAGGGTACAAAGAACATCCCAGACAGATGAGGTTCTGGGCTGGGGGACAGGGCTGTAGACACAAACTAGAGTTAGTGTCCAGTGCAGACATGTCTTTGGGGGAAAATGGTTCCAGAACTGCTTCCTGCCTACTCCACCCCCTGCCAACTGACACCATGGTGTAGGGCTGGGGGGTTCTGGAACTCTGGCTTTGGGTGACCTTTGCCTGCTATGTCCACAGGCATCCCCTGTGAGGGCGGACTGCGCTGCCTCTGCTGGAAGGTGGGTGTGCCTGGGGTGGGGCTTCTTGGTGTGGTGTCTCCTGGGTCTTGCATGGACCTCCTCCTGTCCCCTCCTCTCTGCTCCTTTCCTTGCTTGTCTGAGAAGTCTCTCTGGAAGTTGTGGGGTTTTGTATTCTCTTGGCATCCTCTCCAGGATGCCTTTGGGGGAATGGCACACTTTATAATGCCAGTAAAGATTCCCACTTCCTGGCACATGTGCACATTGGAAGTGATGCTGACTGGGACAAAGCACAGGCTAATTCCGCCTGCAGTCACTAGCAGAGCCATGGCCCTTGTTCCTGGTCTCTTCTCGTTTAGAAGAGTCTGTGAGGAAAGCAGAGGGAGGGATTGAGCTAGGGCTAGGAGGAGGGGGACCACTCTTCAGGCCTGAGCTCCTGGGTCACAGCGCCTCACCTGTTCTGGGTTTCATGAAACCTTTGGGGCCTGTGATCCTCCACTGCTGTCCAAGATGGGGGCAGGGAGGTCTCCAGAGCTGTGCTGTTCTCTGTACAGATCCTCTTGAACTATCTCCCTTTGGAGAGAGCTTCGTGGACTTCCATCCTGGCCAAGCAGAGGTGAGACCTGTGAACTAGAAGGCTTTACCTCACATGCCTGTCTTGCTTCCTATGGGTGCTTCTCTAAACTCATCCTTCTGTATCCTGCTCTCCTGCAGGGGTCTCTATTCTCAGTTTCTGAGAGAAATGATTATCCAGCCTGGCATTGCCAAGGCCAACATGGGTGTATCCAGGGAGGATGTGACCTTTGAGGACCATGTAAGTAAGGTTGACATCAAGGGCCAAGAGTGCACATGGGGAGGGAGAAGCTTGGCCAGGCAAGGGCCGCTCACTGGAAGACGGGATGGTCTGGCCTGCATTCCTGTCAGTTCCTCCCCTCAGGTTTCCCACCCCTTGGAAACAGTGGTGTCTCCCTCCTTATTCTAGGAACAAGAAGCCCTAGCCCCAGTTAGTAACAATGGATAACCATTGTTTTGAGGGTGCTTTGGGAGTCACCCTGCTCCAGGGCATGGTCTCTGGAACCCTTACGAGTAGTACTTTTTTTTTTTAAATATATTTTTTATTTCAATAAAAGATTATTTAAGATCCCAGGTGGTGGTGACACATGCCATTAATTCCAGCACTCGGAAGGCAGAGGCAGGCAGATCTCTGTGGGTTTGAGGCCAACCTGGTCTACAAAGTAAGTTCCAGGACAGCCAGGGCTACACAGAGAAAAAAAGACAAGTATCTTGTGTATTCCAGTCTGGCCTGGAACTCAGTTTATAGCCAAGATTGACCCTGAACTTCATTTTTAAAAGTTTATTATTAGTTTGCATGTGGGTGCCAGTGAGGGTTACCATGGCATGGACGTGGAGGTGAGACAACTCTGAGTCACTTCCTGCCTTCTCCCATGTGTTCTGGGGACCAAACTTGGGTCTTTATGCTTGTGCAGCAAGCACTTTTACCTACTAAGCCATTTTGCAGGCCCAACATGGATGTTTTTGTTTGTTTGTTTGTTTGTTTGTTTGTTTGTTTGTTTTTGAGGCAGGATCTTGCTGGTTGTCCAGGCTTGTCTCAAACTTGTAGTTTTCCTGCTTCAGCCCTCTCAAGATCTGGGATTTATCCCTGGTGGAATGTTCATTTCTTTGCTTTTTTATGGACTTGGAGGTTGAGCAGAGAATCTCAAATGTTGTAGGCAATCACTGTGTCACTGAACTACACGCCTTTCCTCATGCCTCTCCTCACCCGGGGTCCTTGAGGAAGGCACTAGGATTGAATGGTTGAAGAAAGAGCTGGGCAGAAGTAAGGATGAAGTGCCGTCTGAGGCCTGGAGAAAATCCTGTTTTTCTCTTGTTATACTGAGTTCCTTCATATGCACTTCACAGGGCAGGAAGTGTAGCTGGGCTGGCCTCAGGTCCATCCTCCCAGATAGGAGTGACTACTCAAAGCCCTGGTAGATAATGCAATGACATTCATGTGTGTTCGTTTGCCCTTTCAATGGCATTCAGTGAGTGATTGTTACATGCACACTTCTGGCTGGGGCATTGCCGAGAACACTATCTGCCATACAGGATGTGCCCAGAGCAGACTGCCAGGCTTGCCATTGCCACTGTAGTGTGAAGGGCTTCTACACCACCTGGGAGGCATTGGGAAGCCTGTACTTGCTGGGTGGACTGAGCCTGTCTCTAGGCCAGAGCTAGGTCTTGGGCATTCGATGTGAGCCCAAAGCGGAAGCCTTGGCTGGTCCTTGCACACAGCATCTGCTTCTCTCTTCACAGCCCCTCAACCCAAACCCTGACAGCAGGTGGAACACGTATTTTAAGGACAATGAGGTGCTACTGCAGATTGACAAAGATGTCCGGTAAGAGGCTCAGAGGGGCCTTCTGCTGCCAGGGGCCCTTGCCAGGGTCTGTACCTGCAGTGGAGTACCAAAGGGCACTGGAGCCTATTTGTCTGCTTCATCAATTGGCTGTTTGACCATGGACAGGCGAGTTAGGCTCTCTGAACATGACTTATCTGGAAGCAGAAATGAAATGGCCCAGATTCAGGACATGTGCAGTATGGTCTTCACATATCATTTGGATTGTTACGCTGGCTTCAGCATGCTACAGAGGCCTTTGGAGAGCTGGTCCCCCTTCACTTGGAGCAGCCTGACTGAGTCCTTTCTGGTACCCATTCCTTTTGTAGACAGGAAAATCATGCAGAACATTCCCAAGGGATCCTGGGGCCAATTCTGCCTGAACAGCACAGGCCAGCTGCACCTATGTGAGCAGGCCTGGAGGTTTACCAGAGGAGACAGATATTCAACCTGTCAACATGTATGGGGTTGCAAAGGTTGCTGATGCTGTGAGGAAAGAATAGGGGCCTTATTTTAGGGGTGGTGACTTAGCATGAGATGCCACGCAAGAGGAGAATGGCAGGCTTGGAGCTGTGCATCAGTCTAGGAACTGATGCAGAAGAGTTCTGAGGCTTGGGATAATGTCTACAAGAAGATCCGCTCCCACATCCCCTGAGTGCTGCATCTCTGCCCAGATCCCTTTCCAGGTATCCTCTGGATGCCTGATTGGGGTGGTACACCAGGCTCTCAGTGCCTTTCTTCTCACACTGGCATTGGAGCAGACCTGCCGCTGAGGTGCTGTACAGGCCAGGTTTAGGTAAAGAGCCTCATCCATTAGTAGTTTGGGGAGGGATTAGGAGCTCAGTCTCTCTCTCCTCTTGGCGATGACAGTAGATTATCAGTATTTCCAGAGAGTCAGTGCAGTGTGCTGTGCCCAGGAGGTTAGAGTATATACATGAATGCAATGCCCTGTCGTGCTCCAGATGTTCCCCGCTTGCCATTCCTAGCATATCTCTTATCAGCAGAGGGGGTTCTTTTGCACTTAACCAAACCTTTCCTGTGGTAAATGACCCTGGTTAATCCTTGTTCATATCCATGAATCTACAGATGAATGCATGTAAATATAACTTTTTCCTGGGGATTGAACTCAGGACTTGATTCCTGAAAATTATCAGACATACTTATATACATGTATATATAGTGCATGCTAGGCAAATGTCTACCACCAAGCTATATCCTTAGCTCCTAGACAAGTGCTTTTGTCTTGGAAAGGTGTTTGTGGTTTACGAGAATTAGGCTTACAACCATAAAGATACTTAGAAAATCTATGTATGTACTCCTTCCTGAATACATATGAAATGAGCATATTTATGTAAATGTAATTTCTACTGCCTTTTTTAAAAGCTGTGTTTGGGGGGTTTAAATATTATTATTTTAGTTTTTTGAGACAAAGTCTTACACTAGTCAAGGCTGCTCGGGAGCTCACTTTGTAGATGAAGCTGCTTCAGGCCTTCCAAGTACTTGATTATAGGTGTGAGCTATCATGCCCAGCTGAAATGTTAGAATTACAAATAAGCAAATAGTTGACGAGTGGCTCAATAGTAGAGCACTTGTCTAGTATGGACCTAGGTTAGTCTCCAGCACTGTAAAATAAATAAAATCAATCATTTGTTAGGATATCTGGCGCTGCCACACTGAGTGATAACATTCTCTCCATTCCAACAGGAGGCTGTGTCCAGATATCTCCTTCTTCCAAAGAGCCACTGAGTACCCCTGCCTCCTCATCCTGGACCCGCAGAATGAGTTCGAGACCCTTCGTAAGCGGGTGGAACAGACAACACTGAAATCTCAGACAGTTGCCCGGAACCGCAGCGGGGTCACAAATGTAAGAGCCAATTGGGGACCTGAGATCTTTTTTAAGATTTATTTATTTTAGGCTGAACTAAAAGAGCTAGTTCCAGGATAGCTTCCAAAGCCACAGAGAACCCTGTCTCGAAAAACCAAAACAAAAAAAAAAAAAAAAAAAAAAAGATTTATTTGTGTTATTTGAGGGTTAGGGTCCACCAGAGTTGTGCATAGTCCAGCTTGATAAGGGAAGTGTGGCTCAGTTTTTGTATATCCCTCTTGGTGTGGATGCCGATTGCTTGGATTAAGGCCCTACCTTGTCAGTCCTTTTACTGTAGTATTGCCTATGAGGGTCAAGTTCTGCCCATTTTACTTTTGGATCTGATTCTGACAGCCCAGGATTCACCTGAAGCTTCATCCCTGGGATTCTGGACCTGTAGTGGGGTAGCTTGAATTAAGTCAGCTTTCTGTGCTGCTCTGGGCAAGGGATACTGAGCTGTTGTTTTTAGGTTTTTTCCTCCTCTGTAATCTGGGCATGATCTCTCCTGCCCTTCCTGGCTATGGAACAGCTAGGAGAAAATGAGATCATGGAAAGCAGGTTCTTGGAAAGCTGGAAACACTGGGCCTTCTTGGAAGAAAGCCTCCTCCAGCAGGTTGGCCCATAGGCTTTGGGCTAGCCAGTCCAGGTTCAAGTCTATGTAAGTGTCACTTTCCTCATCTTCAAAGGTGGTACTGTGGCTCAACGCCTGTAACCTGAGGCAGGAGGATCTACTCAGGGCCATCCTCAGATGTATGGTGCCTTTGAAGTCATCTGAATCATGTGAAAATGGCTTTGAGAGACAATTGTAGGAGTAGTTGGAGGAGTATGGTCTGCTCCTGGGGTGATGTGTTTCTGTCATATATACTTATGACAGGTGTGTGGAGATAGCCTGGACTCATGGACTCCTAAGACAGCTTTGTACAGTCTGCTGGGGTCTCCCCAGCTCTGCAGCCCCTGCTGGAGCAGGTCAAGGGTAGAGCCCAGACGCCCAAATCCCCCAAATATCCAGAGGTTCTGCAGAGCAGATGATGTTGTGGACCCTTTTCTTGTTTTGAATTGGTTTTATATGTTCCCGATTGGCCTAGACTGCTATATTTAGCTGAGGCTAGCATTCAACTCCTGATCCTCCTCTTCTAACTCCAAGTGCTAGGATTTATAAGCCTGTACCACTGCATGAAGTCAATTCTTTATTTTCTTTTTCTTTCTTTCTTTCTTTTTTTTTTGGGGGGGAGGCGTTTGGAGATAGCATCTCTGTGTGTGAGTGGCTCTGGCTATCCTGAAACTTGCTCTGTAGACTGGGCTGGCTTTGAACTCAGGGAAATTCACCTATCTCTGTTTCCTAAGTGCTGGGATCAAAGATGTATGCCACCACCACTCAGCTAAGTCTTTATAGAAGTATACATACTTAAAAATGCACACATTTTATGTATGTAGCTAGATTTGTTTTTCTTACAGAAACACCTGTGTAACTACCAGTCAAGATTAAGATTTCTCACTGTGCAGGAAGTCCCTTTTCCCTCCCCTCATCCGTCCCTTACCACAGCATTTACCTCTATTCTGTTGTTGTGTTTGGTTAGTTTTGCTTTTTGGTTTTTTCGTTTTAAAAATAGGGTTTTACTATGTAACCTTGTTGGGCCTTAAACTCACAGAGATCTGCCTGCCTCTGTTTCTCAAGTGCTAGGACATCATGCCTGTTGTGACTTTTATTTTTAGCCTAGTTGTCACTTACACTGTCTTCCGAGAGCCTCAGCCTGCCTCTTCCTTGTGTCTGACGTGTTCCTCCATGCCCTGTCTTACCCATAAGCGAGGATGCTTAGTCAAATTGGGCTCAGTGGGAACATTTGATCTGCTAACAGGCTCTCCTCTTCTCCCCAGATGAGCTCCCCGCACAAGAACAATGCACCACCCGCCCTGAACGAGTATGAGGTTCTGCCCAATGGCTGTGAAGCTCACTGGGAGGTGGTGGAGCGGATCCTATTCATCTATGCCAAGCTCAACCCTGGCATCGCTTATGTGCAGGGCATGAATGAGATCGTGGGCCCCCTCTACTACACTTTTGCCACTGACCCAAATAGCGAGTGGAAAGGTAGACAGCCACCTGAATCTCCTATTGCTGACCCCCTAGGGAAAGAGAATGAGGCTAGCTAGACTGATGGACCTAATGGGGCCCCAGAGCCTTAGCTACTTCCAGGCGTCTATCCCCATGTCAGAGCAGGTGCTGGCCTGCAGTGTTTCTAAGACTTTCCATCTCTGCCTTCTAGAATATACTGCTGTTCACTGACCTGTTGACACTTGTAACTTTCTGTAGAATAAATGGTCACAAACACTGAAAGATGTGACCCACTAGGATAGTGTATGACAAACTGCCAAGGGGATTGTGTGCATAGAAGGTGAGGTAGAAGAGATGATGTCCTTGGGGTGGACAGGGCCAATGTGAAGGACCCATTCCAGCCTCCACAGGGGCAGTTTGGTGACATGTAGAAGTGGGGCACATGTCCTGTGGGTGAGTGGTGAGGTGGGACTCAAGAAACCTCACTTCCTGTGTCCACCCACACCTCACTGTCTGTCCCAGAGCATGCTGAAGCAGATACCTTTTTCTGCTTCACCAACCTCATGGCTGAGATCCGGGACAACTTCATCAAGAGCCTAGATGACTCCCAGTGTGGCATCACCTACAAGATGGAAAAGGTGTACTCCACCTTGAAGGATAAGGATGTGGAACTCTACCTGAAACTGGTGAGAACCGGACACTGATAGCACATGGGCGGGGCACACAGGCCAGACACACACCTCGCTCTATCTTGAGTCTGAAAGTTGAGCTGAAAGTGGCTGCAACTTTGCAACATTGGGCATTTACTCAGGATGCTGGCCCATGTGCTGAAGCAGGCCTGGGAGGCCTGGCAGCTGAGCATAAAAGCCAAGTAGGCTGGGAGGGGGTGGTGCTTGTAGGTTGAATATGGTGGAGAAAGCCTTTAGTCCTAGCACTTGGGAAGCAAAGGCAGGAGATATCTCTGAGTTCAAGGCCAGCTAGGTCTATAGAGCGAGTTTCAGGACAGTCAGGAATAATACATAGAGAAACTTTGTTTCAAACCAAAAAATATGCTGGGGTGTGGGGATGGTGGCAGCATACACCTTTAACTCTAGCATTCAGGAGGCAGAGGCAGGTGGATCTCTGAGTTTGAGGCCAGCCTGGTCTGCAAAGTGAGTTCCAGGACAGCCAGGACTACACAGAGAGTCCCTGTCTCAAAAAACAAACAAAAAAAAAAAAAAAAAAAAAAAAGAAGAAGAAAGAAAGAAAGGAAAAAAATAGTGGTGCCTGTAAGATGACCAATCAGGTAAAAATGTTTAATGCTAAGGCCAGCCACCTTAGTTCAGTCCCTGGGACCCACATGGTAGAAGGAAGGAAAGAACCAACTCTTGCAAGTTGTTCTTTAACCTCACATACCTCCCTCCAACAAATAAGTTAAAAATGGAATTTCAAGTTGGGATGTGGTGCCACACGCCTTTAATCCCAGTACTTGGGAGGCCGAGGCAGGCGGATCTTTTGTGAGTTCAAGACCAACCTGGTCTACAAGAGCTAGTTCCAAGACAGTCTTCAAAAGCCACAGAGAAACCCTGTCTCAAAAAACAAAAACAAGAACAAAAAACAAAACAAAATTTGATTTTGAGACAGGGTCTCATTTTATAGCCCTGAGTAGTCTCAAACTCACTATATCAGGCCAGCTTCAAACTCACAGAGATCTACCTGCCTCGCCTCTGCCTCTGCCTCCTGGGATTAAAGGCCATGTACCACTACTGCCCAGATTCACTTTTTATGTTTTAAGACAGGTGTATAACCCAGGTTGGGCTCAAAATTGCCATGAAGCTGAGTATGACCTTAAAGTCCTTATTTTTCTGAGTTCCATCTCCTGAGTTGAGATCCCAAGGATGAACCAGCTCTCAAAAACACGTTTTTAAAAAGTTTTATGGGGGAAAAAAAATGGATGCATATATTTTTATTTTATTTGTGTTTTTTGTTTGTTTTTGTTTTTTGAGGTAGGGTTTCTCTGTGTAGTCCTGGCTATACTAGAACTCACTGTAGACCGGGCTGGTCTTCAACCCAAGAGATCTACCAGCCTCTGTGTCACTAGTATGGGGATTAAAGGCATGTGCCATTATGTCTGGCTTGAAGCATACATTTTTAAATAAACATGAAATGCTATATTTACTATGTGGTGTAGCAGGCTTTTGGGCCACCAACCAGCTCCCAAATCATGACGTAGATAGAGACTTACTAGTTATGAATGTTTGACCTTATCTTATTTTCTTATAGCTCTTATAATTTATTTTAACCTTTTTCTCTTCATATATGTTTTTGACTTGGTGCTTTTTGGTCTTCCTTCCTTCCTTCCTTCCTTCCTTCCTTCCTTCCTTTTTCAAGGCAGGGTTTCTCTGTAGCTTTGGAGCCTGTCCTGGAACTAGCTCTGTAGACCAGGCAGGCCTCGAACTCACAGAGATCCTCCTGCCTCTGCCTCCCGAGTGCTGGGATTAAAGGCGTGCGCCACCAATGCCGAGGGACTCGGTGCTTTTTATTTTCTTTCTGTATGTTCTATTCCATATCTGGCTGGTCCTGGGCATTTCTCTCTCTCTCTCTCTCTCTCTCTCTCTCTCTCTCTCTCTCTCTCTCTCTCTCTTTCTTTCTCTCATTACTATCTTCTTGAGGCTAGCTTCCTTCTCCTATTTATTCTCTCTGCCTTCCAGTCCTGCCTATCCCTCTACTGCCTAGCTATTGGCCGTTTAGGCAGGCAAAGCAACACATCTTTACATTGTTAAACAAATGCAGCATAAACAAATATAACACATCTTTGCCCAGCTAAAGTAATATTCCACAACAGCAATGCATGCTCTTTCTGTTAATACCATCTATGGCTCACCGAAGTACTCCTGTCTTGGGGAGCTCTGTCCTATGGGGTTGTTTCATGGGTTATGTAAGCGGAGTACAGGTACTGTGACCAGAGAGAGGAGGAAGTGCATGAGGTGAGCCATCATTTCCAAACCCGAAGGGCTAATGTAAAATTCAGGGGTTTTAGTGTGTCTTGTAGAAATCAAAAGGTATGGCAGCATTGGCTGGATTAGCAGCCGCTAATCCTTAGTGGACTGAGGCTTTGTATGGCCCCTTTGAGGGCCCTGAGAGGGCTTGCTCCTAGGCTGCATTTTCTTTATGCAGCTGACACCCGGTCCCTGCTGTCTCCCCAGCAAGAGCAGAATATCAAGCCCCAGTTCTTTGCCTTCCGTTGGCTGACACTGCTGCTGTCGCAGGAGTTCTTGCTGCCTGATGTCATCCGGATCTGGGACTCCCTCTTTGCCGATGACAACCGCTTTGACTTCCTCCTTCTGGTCTGCTGTGCCATGCTCATGTGAGTGGGGCATGATTTGCCCTGTCTGTAAGGAAAGCTGGTGTGGGAAGGGGTGGCAGTCCTGGACGGTGGCCAGAGCAAGCCTCAGAAATTTTGACCTCCAAGGGGACTTGCTGAGGGTGGAGGAATGAACAGAGGACCTGCAGGCCTGCTCCTGGGGCATCTGGGGCCAGCACTGTGACTCTTGTTTCCCTGCAGACTGATCCGGGAGCAGTTGCTGGAGGGGGATTTCACTGTCAACATGCGGCTTCTGCAGGTAATGGGCACTGAAGGGGAAGCCAGTCTCAACCACAGGGCAGACACTTTCTACTCTGCACCCTTTACCAGCCGCTATGGCAGTCTGGCACCAGAAACAGCACATAGTGTGGGTTCAGGGTCCAGACCCCTGGACCACATCTGGTTTGGATCTGAATTGAGCCCTGGTCTTCACAGACCAGTATTCTGAATGACAAGATCAAGGCAATGGATGTTGCTGATTTTGCTCAGGCAGGGTTAGGGTATGTCAGGTGGGTTTGACAGTGAGCCTGAGGTTCATGTATGTTCTGCTCTCCTTGTCATGTGACTTGAGCCAAGTGACATACTCTAGGCCTCAGTGTCTTCATAAACACCTACCTGGCTTAGGGTTGATTTTCAATAATCCCACTAGCTAGGTCTGTAAGATGGGTGTAATCACAGCATCTCTTCTTGGGGCTCCTCAGGAGACTGGAAGACTAAGGGATACACTGCCCCAGCCAGCTCAAGGCTTGGCATGGGTGTGGCTCCAGGTTCCAGGTCAGGAGATGGGAGGGCTGAGGCTGTGGGACCCTTTGGCCCTCGGGAGTTGTGATCTTAGTGGTATGCAGTGTTTGGGGCAGGATACTTGGGTTGTCTGGTATATGCCATGGTCCCTGTCCCTGGTGCCATACAGTGGTGACAGGTCTGAGTGGGAAGGCAGTGGAGCAAATTGGCGGCTACTACAGGAATACATTGTGGTTTTCCTGGTGTCCAGGATTACCCCATCACAGACGTCTGCCAGATCCTACAGAAAGCCAAGGAGCTCCAAGACTCGAAGTAGCCTGGTGGTGGCAAGTGGCCCAGGTTTGGAGGAGCAGCCACCTGCGCTCTGCACCCTGGTTTGGGGACACGAAGGAGCCAATGGGAAAGCTGGCCTGAGAGCAAGCTGCAGTCTTGGCCAGTTCCAGGTCTTCCCAGCCTGGTTCCCACGGTCCAGGCTACTCCTCCCAGAGCATACTGTGCTGCACTCCTTCCCAGTGCTTGGCCCTGCCACTCTCCCTGCACTTCAGCCCTGACACCTCCACCCAGACTGCTGAGCAGGGCTGGAGCTCCTGCACTGGTTCCCTAGGGCTGGGACCAACTGGGGCACAGGAGGCTGGCAAGGGTCCTGCCCTGCCTCTGCCCAGTAGCCCCCTACCCTTTGTGCTTTCTTCTTCCTCTGGGTCCTGGTCAGGGGAGGTAATTGGCTAATGGGCCAGAAACCATTTCTGAGTGTTGGTGCTCAAGCTACTTGGGGCAATGACTCCAGAAGAGCTGAGTGGCTGCCCATTGTAGATCCGCCTTCTGTCGCTCCCGCCTGGTGCACTTGCTTGTCTCTGTGCGTGCATGTGTGCGTGTGTGCGTGCGTGCGTGCGTGCGTGCGTGCGTGCGTGCGTGCGTGTGTGTGTGTGTGTGTGTGTGTGTGTGTGTGTGCGCGCGCGCATGCCCTGGAAGTGCAATGGGGCTGTGTTGGAATCCCTCAATAGCCCTGCTTCCTCTTTTCTGTGTCTCTACCTCTGCCTGTTTCCCTCTTCCTTTGCCAGAGGCGTGTGTGGCTCCTGCTGTTTCTTCTTCTCTTCATTTCTCTTTACACTTCTTTTGGGACGCCTTACCTCTCTGCTTCCTGAAGCCAGCAGTCAGAATGAGAAGTGTGACTTAGTAAAACCCCTGAAAGCCAACCTTGACTTGGGCATCCTGTTCCCATCCCTAGCCCAAGGTTTCAAGGTCCCCTAGTCAGAGAGGGACTCCACAGTGGCCTGACCCTGCTTTGCTGTGGAAACTAAGTGCTGCTGACAACGGTGGCCTGCGAACCTTTGGCCTCTTGCTCGATTTCTGCCCAAGTATGGAGAAAGGAGGGAGGAAGAGAGTCTGTTAAGGGGCTCCCTGAAGACTCAGCATCTCAGAGATCAAGAATGGCCCGGATGTGCTGTGCCTGGGAGTTGGATTCTAAGCATTTTGGTAGAGCTGTCATCCTCTTGGCTTCCATGTTCCTACCCGGATGTGCAAGTCTCATCCATGCAAGGGGACCAAACGATGCCTCTGTTCAGGATTGGCTAAACTGGACCGCCTGGAGTCTCTCAGTGCCAGGAGAACTACATCTGTCCTCTACTCCCATGGGGACTGTGGAAGAGCTTCGGCCATCTCCTGACCTTGGGGCCAGCAAGTAGGCTTCTTCTGATCTTGTCCCTTCTCTTCTTTTATGTGGAGGCCAGGTGTTTTGGATCCTGAATTCAGGCAGGTCAACAGCAGGAGACCTCAACTTCTCAGATTGACCAGTTAGGATCTGGACTCCAGCAGCTGCCACCTGAAGCCTTCCTGAGACCGGTGGGCAGGGCTCTGCCTTTCCAGACCACTGCTTTAGTGAGGTTCCTTGGTTACCACTGGGACTCTCTGCTTGATTTTTGCTACCTTCTCCCCCAACACAGATTATTTGGGTGATTTTTTTTTTATATACTATTTATTTAGACCCGGGCTATTTATTACAGATTGGCAAGTGACTTGGGGCTGTGGGAAGGTAGTAGTGACTGGGATAGTAGAGTTGGAGGCATGGATCGTCTCATTCCCCAAGGTTAACCCTGACATCCTCTGCCATTCCTGGAGTGCCACCAGCTCTGCACTAGCACCGAGTATAAGGGAGGCCAGAGCTGCTGCATTTGCTGTACTCAAAGATACAGGAAACACACACTCCCACCATTCTGGCCACACCTCAATCTAGGACTTGTCAGCTGGTAGTTAAGTCCCAGCATTGACCTCTTCATTGCCTGGAAGTCAGCAGACACTGCCTGGGACACCTAATGTATTCCCTCTCGCCTGTCCTTACCTCCCTCCCTCTCTCCCGTCCTCTCTTCCCTCCTGGGACCATGCTACTGGAATCGCAGCATCTGATTATTTCTGTGGGAGACCTGTATCCTGTGCCCACTCCTTGGTCCTTGAGATGAAGGCCAAGGACATGGAGACTGTCTTGAGTAGGGTGACTCCTCCCCTGTTGGGTGCTGCCTGAGGAAAGGATTTGCCTTCCCTTTTAAGGGAGAACCAGAATCTTGAGCACCTGCAGCTTGTACCTGGAGTGGCCCCCAGGAGCTCAGCAGGTCACCCCAGGGTTCGAATGGCGGTGGCTTTTGTGTTCTCATCCGTTCTCTGAGTCAGTGCTGTTAATGAGTTGTCTTTAATAAACCGTGCACTCTTTACCATGAATGTTGGTGCTCCGATGGCTGGACTTGAGACTTTGAAGCAAGGATGAAATAAATCCCTTATACTGGTCTAAGAAAGACTAGAAAATGCTTGCCAGGAGAGCCTGACTCTTCCAGGTCAGCTGATACAGTCAGCAGGGGACAGGTGGGCACAGGAGGGAGGGGCTTGCCAGCACAAAGCAAATTCCAGGACAGCCAGAATTAAAAGGTTTTGAAAAACCCTGTCTCAAAAACCAAAAAAATCTTAAAATTGTCTGCAAGATTTATGCCTGTTTCTGGACTTTTGGCTCTATTAATTGATGTCATTTCTTCTTCTCCTTCTTCTTCTTCTTCTTCTTCTTCTTCTTCTTCTTCTTCTTCTTCTTCTTCTTCTTCTTCTTCTTCTTCTCCTTCTTCTTCTTCTTCTTCTTCTCCTTCCTTCTTTCTTCTCCTTCTTCTTCTTCTTCTCCTTCTCCTTCTTTCTTCTTCTCCTCCTTCTTCTTCTTCCTTCTTCTTCTCCTCCTTCTCCTTCTTCTCCTCCTTCTCCTCCTTCTTCTCCTCCTCCTCCTCCTTCTTCTTCTCCTCCTTCTTCTTCTCCTTCTTCTCCTCCTCCTTCTCCTCCTCCTTCTCCTCCTTCTCCTTCTTCTCCTTCTTCTCCTTCTCCTTCTTCTCCTCCTTCTCCTCCTTCTTCTTCTCCTTCTTCTCCTCCTTCTCCTCCTCCTCCTTCTCCTCCTCCTCCTCCTTCTTCTTCGTTTTTCAAGACAGGGTTTCTCCTTGCAGCAGCTCTGGCTGACCTGGAACTCTCTCTTTAGGCCAGGCTGGTCTTGAACTCAGAGATCTACTTGCTTCTGCCCCCCAAGTGCTGGGAATAAATGTGGATGTCATATATTTCTGTCAGCATCATGCTGTTTTGATTACCATAAACTCGTATTTTAAAGTAAAGTGACCTCCAGCACTGTCCTTTTTATGTGGGTAAAGGTGCTGCAACCACGCCTGATGGCCTGAGTCTGATTTCTGGGACCCACGTGCTAGGAGGGAACAAACTGTAGCAAGACTTCTCAACCCACAAGACACACAAAAATAAATACAACTTAAAAAGGAATACTGAAGGTTTTTCAAAACCTTTTAACTCTGGCTGTCCTGGAATTTGCTTTGTAGACCAGGCTTGCCTGAAACTCACAGAGAGCCACCTGCCTCTGCCTCCTGCTTGCTGTGATTAAAAGCAAGCACCACTACTGCCGGGCAAAAAAAGTTTCTATTTTATGTGTATGAGTGCTTGCCTGCTATATGTGTGCCTAGTGCCCATGGAGGCCAGAAGGGAGTAGGTAGCAGATCCCCTGGGACTGTAGTTATAGATGGTTGTGAGCCATCTTGTAGGTACTGGGCACTGAACCTAGGTCTTCTGCAAGAGCAGCCAGTGCTCTTAATTGCTGAGCCGTCTCTCCAGCCCCTGCCTTTTGACGAAGGAGCCAAGAACTTGGTGGAGAAAGGACAGTTTTTGGTAAAAGCTGCTGAGAGAACTGATTTTCCACATACAGAAAAGTGAATTGAGACTTTTACACCACGCAGAGAAATCAACTCTCAAATGGATTGCAAGCTTCATCCCAAAGCCTGGAACTGTAGCTGTCAGAAGACAGGGGATGCTTGTTGGACATGGCTCCCAAAGCACTCTCATTTTTATTGTTAACATTCACTCTGCTTTAGTGTGTGTATATAAGGCAGTCACCCCAGGCTGGCCTCAGGCTCATGGTAATTATGCCTCAGCCTCCCTAGTACTGAGATTACAGATAGGAATCACTATACCAAATTACTACAAGGAAAAAAAATATACTTCCTATACCTACAATCTATAGAAAAAAGTGCAACTTTTTTTTTTTTTTTTTTTTCAAGACAGGGTCTCTCTGTGGCTTTGGAGGCTGTCCTAGAACTAGCTTTTGTAGACCAGGCTGGTCTCAAACTCACAGAGATCCACTTGCCTCTGCCTCCCAAGTGCTGGGGTCAAAGGCATGCGCCACCACTGCCTGGATTAGCTTTGGACTTCCTGTTTAGCTGAGGATGACTTTGGAATTTCAGTCTTCCTCCCTCCACTTCCCCAATGATGCATGCACCATCACATCTGGTTCATGGAGTGCTGCAGATCAAACCCAGGCCTCTGCATGCTAGGCAAGCACTTGGTCAAGTAAGCTGAATGCCTCACCATAGACTTTATTATTTTCACTTTATATATGTGTGCGTGTCTGTGTGTGGAAATACCCATGTATGAATGCAGATGCCTGCACAGTCCAGAAGGCATTAGATCCCCTATCACTGAAGTTAGGGAAGGTTATGGCTACTTGTAATTGAATTTGGGTTCTCTGCAAGAGCAGTATGTGCTCTTTAAAAGACAAAATTATGTTGTCTGTATAGGTGTTTTGCCTGCACGTATGCCTTTGGTGTGTGTAGAGATGCCCAGAAGAGGGCATCAGATTCTTTGGCGTTATACATGGTTGTAAGCTGCCATGTGGGTGCTGGGAACTGAACCTGGGTCCATTGCAAGAGCAACAAATGCTCTGAACTACTGAGCCATCTCTCCAGCCCACGACATTGTCTTTTTTTTTTTTTTTTTTAAATACAAGTTCACCTGGCAGTGGTGGCCTTTAATCCCAGCATTCAAGAGGCAGAGGCAGGTGGATCTCCCTCTTCAGGGTTTCTCTGTGTATCCCTGGCTGTCCTGGAACACACAGAGGTGGTAGGTGGATCTCTGAGTTCAAGGCCACTCTGGTCTACAGATCAAGTTCTTGCTTGGATAGCTAGGGGATACACAGAGAAACCCTGTCTTGGAAAAACAAGCAAACAAACAAGTGAGTTCCATTATAACACTTCCATTTCTATGTGTTATGAATTTTTATTGTTTTCTTCCAGTATCCTCTTGTCCCCCAACACCTGCTCATCCTCTATTTCCCAATTTAATAAATAATTGATTTTGTCTCATGCTAATGAGTGAGGATCTGATGGCATACTCACAGCCCTATTTGCTTGTTCTTTCCTGAATAAGTGGTAGGCAAGTTGTCCTAAAATAGTCATAGTTTAAATACTGTTCCATTTTATGTGACCAAATATCCTTATCCAGCCCATAGTGTTGAGTACTTTATTCCAGCTTCGATGGACAGGAAACATTGTCTTATAAAACATACTTCCCAGACTCAGCCCTTTAAGAGTGTTGAAAGGAGCTCAGCACTTGTGAGGCAGAGTCAGATGGATCTCTATGAGTTCAAAGCCAGCTTGGATTACAGAAGAGCCAGGGCTGTTAGAGATAATCCTGTCAAAAAAAAAAAAAAAAAAAAAAAAAAAAAAATGTATGATCCTAATGAACTTAGCGTAGCTTTTCTAGCAGCTTTCTATAAACTTATAGCAAGCTTCAGCTCCAGGCGGCTGTCAGCAGCTACAGCCTGCAATCTTTTGCCAGCCAATCTAGAAGAAGCCTTGTCATTTGGTGGCGCAATTATGGTTGGACAGGAAGGGTCTGACAGATATGGGGTTCTGTCCTCTTCAAGTAACTAGAGTTCCCAGGACTCTGTGAGGGTTAAAAAGGCGGCCGTTTGGGCGGCGCTACACGCCCTGCAAGAAGCAAGGTTTCCGGAGGCGCACAAAGTGAGGCGGGGCCAGACTTGGCAGTGACCAATGGCAAGCGGGTAGGGCAGTGTCACGTCCTGGCCGCTTCTCAAAAGGGCAGAGAAGGACCTGCAGCCACCCGTGTGGGGTTCTGCACCTGGGGCGAGAGACAATTTCCTGCACTCAGGCCGCGCTCGCCTTTCTGTAGGCCATGCGCGTGCTGCGGGTCGGCCTGACCCTGGCTCTGGGCGCGGGGCTGGGTGCGGCGGCAGAGCACTGGAGGCGACGGGCGGGAACAGCAACAGGGCTGCTTGCCCGGGTGCCAATGTTGCCTGTGGTGGCGGCCGAGCTGCCCGCGCTGCCAGGCGGGCCGGCGGGCGGCACCGGGGAGCTGGCCAAGTACGGGCTGCCCGGCGTGGCGCAGCTTCGGAGCCGCGAGTCCTACGTGCTGAGCTACGACCCGCGCACGCGCGGTGCGCTCTGGGTGTTGGAACAGCTGCGACCCGAGCGGCTCCGTGGCGACGGCGACCGCAGCGCCTGCGACTTCCGAGAGGACGACTCTGTGCATGCGTACCATCGTGCCACTAACGCGGACTATCGCGGCAGCGGCTTTGACCGTGGCCACTTGGCCGCTGCCGCCAACCATCGCTGGAGCCAGCGGGCTATGAATGACACCTTCTACCTGAGCAACGTGGCCCCGCAGGTAGCCGTGGTCCCCGATCACCTGCCTGACTGAAGCACCTAGGTCTGAGTTTACACGTGCACCGTTACGGGAGGGAAGAGTCCTATAGTCAGATGGGTTTGAACTTACACGGAGTCCTGAGCGCATCCCTGTCTCCAGCAGGATGCAGTAATGTCAGCCAGTAAGCTACCCAATGTGGTTTTCTGAGGGAACCCAAGATGTCTCCTACTCTATATACCCAGCTGGCCTGCAGCAGCTGCCAGGAAAACAGCTGGCACGAAGTTGGGTTTGTTGGTGCCAATCACATCACCCTGAACACATTGTTAGCACTGCACCTGCTCCCAGGAGGGTCTTGAATATGTGAACTGGATGCCTGGGACAGTGGCTGGAGATGGATAGGGGCATGGGGTTGACGCCCCCACACCTTTAAAGGCTCATCCTGAGGCCTGGCAGGCTCAAGGGGGACTTCTAGATGATTAATGTTCCCTCCTTCCTTGGTTCTTTGAGCTGGGTAAAGTTTAGATTTGGAATACCTAAGAAGGGACAGGGTGTGGCTAGCAGTGGTCAACCCTACAAAAGCTCCCATAGTCAGAGCCTCAAGTAGTGACCCCTTCTTTGAGCCTTTGCCCTCCACATGCTTGGCTGTCTCAAGACCGGGGGCACAGAAAGCCTTGCTTCTCCCACCAGGTGCCACACCTCAACCAGAATGCCTGGAACAACCTTGAGAAGTACAGCCGCAGCTTGACTCGCACTTACCAAAATGTCTATGTCTGCACAGGGCCTCTTTTCCTGCCCAGGTAAGCTAAGCCTATGGCTTTTAAAGCCTTCCACCACTATTCTCCAACCTTGGGCTTCCTGCTTCAATGTAGCCAGAGACCTTTGGGTGGCCTAGAACTCTCCTGTGCCCAGTTTCTAGACCCCAGGCCTGCCCTAGCTCCCCTCTTTTGGCACATCTTGGCACCCCTCTACAACCCATGTCGGACACCAGGCTCACACATTTGTCATGCTTGAAGCATTCCTTCCCAAGGTCAGACCATCAGGCCTGCCAGACAGGCAAGCTGAGCTCCTCTGAACATCAGAAAGGCTTGCGATCATCTGGTGTGGCTCCTGCTCAACACCAGGACCTGGGCTGGGCCTGGGATTCCCACTGCCATAGCCCTCAAATCCTTGCTTGCTTCATGTGCTGCCTATAGGGACAGACACACATCTGCTTGGGTGAATTAAAAGTCTACAGAGCTCATCCCTCTAGCAGCATTTATTGCCAACCATTCTGTCTGAACCAGTATTGGGCAGAAAAGCAGAGGGTTAAGCATTGGTCCCCACCTTACAGAGTTCCCAGACCCAAGGTGGCAACCAGGCTCCACACATAAATTTAATTAGGTCAGAGAATGCTTCCTGGAAGAGGTGGCCTCGTGTCCAACAATGCCTTGTGGCCATTTGTGCCTGGGTCTATCCACAGGACAGAGGCTGATGGGAAATCCTATGTGAAGTACCAAGTTATTGGAAAGAACCATGTGGCAGTGCCCACACACTTCTTCAAGGTGCTCATCTTGGAGGCCACCAGTGGGCAAATCGAGCTGCGTTCCTATGTGATGCCCAATGCCCCCGTGGATGAGACTATCCCTTTGGAGCGCTTCCTGGTGCCCATCGAGAGCATTGAGCGGGCCTCCGGGTTGCTCTTCGTGCCCAATATCCTGGCTCGAGCTGGAAACCTCAAGGCCATCACTGCTGGCAGTAAGTGAGGGCGAAGAACCCAAGACACTAGGAGAGGGGGCTGGCTCACATTAAAAAGGTGGTTATTTTTGAAGACAAGTTTGACCATCTCTATTCCTGGTGATCCTCCGTCTCCTGCTGTCTCTACATCCTGGATCCACAAAGTTGTCAGGTAGTCCTGGAACCTGCCTGGATGAGGCCAGGTTGTAGGGCAGCCAGGGAGATGAGTATAGCTTCCTGGAAGAAAATAAGTTGGCTGGGACCTGGTAGTTAGGCAGTTGTCCCAGAACCTTGTCTTCACAGCCAGCTCGCAAGAACCAGCCCCATGTGGGGCCTGCGTCAAGAGCCAGGAAGGATAAGATGGGCAGTTCTTTTCAGCTGGTTTAGCAGTAGTGACATGGGCAGGGCCTCAGGGAAAGACAGACTGAGGTTGTCAACCTCCAGTCACCCACCACCTCTAAGACTGACAGCAACAGTGTTTCCTCCATATAGAGCCCATAGGGACAGCATTCCATACTGGCCCCAGAGATAGTTGCACAGATCCCATGGATGCTCCGGTCTTGTAAGACACTTTCCCCCAGCACAGAAATGTTGACACCCAGAGGGACTGAGGATACCACCAGGGAGGCAGAGGCCCTGAATACAGTCAGACAGATTACCTAGACCCCTCAACCTGGGAACATAAGATTACTACTGGCCCAGAACTTGCAACTTTTATGGCTCTTGTATCTTGTCCCTGCCATCAGTTTGCTGTGGGAAAGATACCACCTTCAGAAAAGACATTTAGGCTGAGGTTGGAGAGATGTTTCAGAGGTTAAGAGCACTGACTGCTTTTCAGGAGGTCCTGAGTTCAAGTCCCAGCAACCACATGATGGGTCATAACTGTCTATACCTGTAGTTTCATGGGATCTGATGCTGTCTTCTGATGTGAAATACATGCAGATAAAACATTCATGTATGTGAAATACAGAAGTAAATCTTCAGAAAAGGAACCTAGGGTGGGTTGCAAGGAGAACTGGGTGCCTGTGGCTGTAGCTCACCTCAGTGCGGATGGTACGGCTGCCCTGGCTGGGGCATGTGTTGACATAAAAGTCGAAGAGGACACTGGGTTCAGACACTTCAAGGTTGGGGTCAGCATCCACTCCAGCTTCCAGCCCTTGGAGGCCCCCGAACAACACAAGAGCATGCCTGGTACCCAGAGAAAGGGACTCACTGACTTCAAGGCTCCATGGGATGTAGGGGATGTAGTCCTCAGAGCTTTATGCCCCCAACCCCATGTACAGTAGGGCCCAGTCCCTACCTTAAACAGCACCCACCTGAAGCTGGGCAGCTGGGCAGAGGCCACACTGGAGCCACGCTCTGATGTCCCAATGGTCAGGTCATACCCATTCTGGAAGGGAGCCTCAGCAAACACAGCGCCTGGGGGTGGGGCCAGCTCAGTGGGGTCCTGCTCTTGGCTATGTGCCTAGCATATTGCAAGGTCAGGAGGAGTGAGAGCTCAGGTAAAGGAGGCCATCTATTGCTCTTGGAAAGTTGAGGGCAGGGAATGGTGGAGCTGAAGCTTGAGCTTGGCCTGGGAGCACACAGACTGGGCAGGAAGAGCTCCCAAGCCCTAGACAGTGTTCAGCAGCCTGACACTCGCTTCAGAGAGCTTTTCTGGTTTGGTATTGGAGACCAAGTCTTGCTCTGTCTCCTGAGCTGGCCTCAGGTTTACAGCAAGATTGCTGTGCTGGGATGGCAGCTGGAAGCCAACCACACCCTGCTCTGGGTTGTTCTTAGCATTCTGAATAGATGTTCGGGGAGACTAGGGCACCAGAGATGAGACCAGAGATGGCACCACCTAAGCACACACCATAGTGTGTACAGAGTAGCAGAGAGACCCTGCTCTGACTTGTGGGTCTTACAGGAGGGATGGAGGGACATTCAGGGAAGGAACTTCCGCCCTTACTGAGACAGGAGGCCAGTCGGACAGTGTAGCCCCAGTAAAGACCAGCTTTGGTGCGGGGATCCTGCGATGACACGACCGTTCCCTTGTATGTCTTGCATTCTGGGGAACAAAATAGGCTATGAAGATCAAGGAGACAGGGAGGTAGGAGGAGGCTCTGAGCCAAGAAGCTCTAAGGGCCAAGGAAACTTCCAGATACCTGAGAGCTGTTTCTGGTTCAGTCGCACAGTCACTCGAAGTCCAGGTTCCAGTTTCTTGTCAATCTTCACCTCCTGCAGAGAAGCTAAAGGAAATGAGTGCCACACCTCAAAAGGGGCCAGTGCTCTCAGAGACCCAATGGAGGAACTGTGGTGCCCAGTCAGTCTGCCACTGGGTGGGACATACTAAGAGGGATCGTCATGCAGAACAATTATCACAGAGCACTGGTCAGAGATGGAAGTCTGGGGTTTGGGACATGGAAAGTCAGTGTCGACAATGAGATGAAGTCACAGGCTGGAACCACAGCTCAGGGGCTAAGAGCACTGATTGCTTTTCCAGAGGTCCTGAGATCAACTGGCGCCCTCTTCTGGCCTGCAGGCATACATGCAGATAGAACACTATACATACGAAATCTTTTTTTTAAAAAAAAAAAAAAAAAATGAAGTCACAGATTCCTTCCATGTGGTGGCTTTGCCACTTGTTAGCTGTAGGAGTCTTAGGTCAGTTAACACCCATGTGCCTCATTTCCCTCATCTGTTGTATACCAGACGTTATAAACAAGAGCTAGATGGCTCACCGGGAAAAGGCACCGGTCTCCAAGCCTGATGACCAGAGTTCAATCCCCACATAGTGGAAGGAGAAAACTGATACTTGTCAAGTTGTTCTCTGACCTCACATTTACTCCTCAGCACGTGCATGCTTACCTACACATTCACACCTATATACATTAAAAGTGAAAAATTTAAATATCAACTAACACCAAAACCACCAAAGCCGAGAACATATGTCAGTGATAGAACATTACTAAATCTCAGTAACAAAAATAAATAAGCAAACACACCACCACTGACAACACTTGAGTTTTGTCTTGGCTTCACCACTTGATGGGGGATGTTCTTCTGTATGTATATTTCTCTTATTGGCGGATGAATAAAACACTGATTGGCCAGGAGAGGCAGGAAGATAGGTGGGACTAGGAGATGAGGAGAATGCTGGGGAGAGAGGAGAGAGAGGTCAAGAGATGCCATGTAGAGACTGGGAAGATAGGATGCTCAGGCATTCTCTATAAGATAAGGCCATGTAGAAATATATAGATTAGTAATTATGGGTTAATAATTAAGAAAGAGCTAGCCAGAAAGAAGCCCTATCCATTGGCAAACAGTTTTATAATTAATATGTCATCCCTGTGTTTATTTGGGGCTGATGCAACTATGGGACCTGGTGGGACAGTAACCTCCATCTTCAATCTTTCTTTTTATTTTATGTATATAGACATTTTGCCTGCATGTATGTCTGTATTTAATGTCCATGCCTGGGGCCCATGGAGGCCAGAACAGGGCATCAGATTCCATGGAACTGGAATTACAGGTGGTTTGTGAGTCACCATGTGGGTACTGGGAACTGAACCTGGGTCCTCTGCAAGAGTAGCCAGTGGTCGTAACCAATGAGCCACCGGCACATCTTTTATAGGTTCATGTCCTGTGGTGTTTCACAGCAGGCCTACAGTCCAGGTCTCCCTATTCATATGTCCTTGCCTGTCTTCCATAACTAGCAAGTGTCCTCAAGATGTATCATAGCCCACCTTCCATTCCTACCTTCTTCATTCCACAGTTGACCAAAGAGCCATGGCCTGCCTTGGTGGGCCGGTCCACCACAATGCCTTCTCGGAACTCAGATTCCTCATCCTGCCGCATGTGGTGAGGAGTGTCCAAGGGGTTGAGGATCCCTGGCATCAGGAGGGTGATGTCAGGGCCAGGCTTACACTCTCAGGGCTGCTCTCCTACTTGATAAGTGGGGCTAGACAATTCCTCAATGCCTAGTGATGAGCCACCAGGCACACCGGACATACCTGCAAACTGCAGATCCTGATGTTTGGGGAAGAAAGCCTTTCTCAGGTACCTGGGAAAGAATGCGACTGTCAAGACCTTCCTGGGGAAGCTGTTTCCCAGCTACATCCAGGAGGACAGCACCCTCATCTCACTTACTGTGGACACTCTAGGTACTGCAGGATGCGAGCCAGCTGTACACATGCCTGCCCCTTCTTGCCAACACCCTTGAATTCTCCTTCCACAGTCCTGGAAAGACAAAGATAGCTCAAGGTTCAAATGTTGGGCTGGAGAGATGGCTTAGCTAGTAAAGGGCTCTTGCTCCTAATCCTGAAAACCTAAGTTCCATGCCCAGAAAGAACACACGGCCTCTCTCCTGCAAGTTGACTTTATTTAGTTACTTTTAAAAAAATAATTTATTTATTTTATTTTTATATGCATTGGTATTTTACCTGCTTCTGACCTGAGGATGTCAGATCTTGGAGTTACAGACAGGTATGAGCTGCCATGTGAATACTGAGAATTGACCTTGAATTCTCTGGAAGAGCAGTCAGTGCTCTTAATCCTTGAGCCACCTCTCCAGCCTCCCATTTATTTACTTTTTTGGTTTTTCCTTTTTTTAAAAAAGTTCATGAGTATCATGTCCTTTTCTTTTTCTTTTTAAGATTTATTTATTATGTATATATACAGTACTCTGTTTGCATGTATGCCTGCAGGTCAGAAGAGGGCACCAGATCTCATTACAGATGGTTGTGAGCCACCATGTGGGTGCTGAGAATTGAACTCAGGACCTCTGGAAGACGAGCCATTGCTCTTAACCTCTGAGCCATCTCTCCAGGCAACTTTGTTGCTTTTTCAAGACAGGGTTTCTCTGTGTAGCCCTGGCTATCCTAGAAGTCACTCCGCAGACCAGGCTGGCCTTCAACTCAGAGATTCCCCGCCTCTGTCTCCCTGGTGCTAGGATTAATGGTGTGCACTGCCCCTGCCCAGCCTAAGTTGTCATCTGATCTCTACAAGCACACTGGTATGGGTATACAAGCACCATAAATAAACAAACAGGAACAAAGCCAGGTCTGAGTATTGAATGGATTGTAGCTTCAGTGGTAGAGCATGTGTATAATGCTGAGTTCAAGCTCTAGCACCAAGGGAGGAAAAAGATGCAACTGCAGCTGCCTGTGAGAGCTTCCCCCACCCAGTGTGCGAGTCCTCGCCTCTACAGAAACAAGGGGTCAATGTGAGCACTTTAGGCAGAGGACTCTGAAAGAGGCAGGTAGGTTACAAGGGACAGGACAAAGCCACAGCCAACCCTGGTGGCCCTTCCCTCCCTGTGAACACTCTTACTTGGTATCTTGGCCCTCTTCATCGAACACCACAATCTCGTCCACACAGAAGATGGTGCAGGCTCTGGCAATCTGGCCAGCCAGGTAGGTGCGAAGCTCAGGTGACTGGGCATTGTCCAGGATGGAGCCAGGCAGGGCCACGCTCAGAGTGTAAGGCCGTCCTAGTGTGGGCAGGGGGTGCTCCTGGTCAGTCTAACAGGCTGTGCCCCTGCCTCCCCCCCAGATCCCCATGGCTCAGAGTAAGAGAACTGTCTGATTGGGAGTTTTGAGATCAGCAAACTAGATCCCTCTCCCTTCGCTTAGTTTCAGTTTCTTCAGGAAGAAATGGACCAAAGTCTCCAAGGGTTCTCAGGGTAAGGCAACACAGAGGGTAAAGCCAAACCATGGTCAGCAGCACTGGGTGGGCTATGTCCAGATCCTGGCTCAGCTCTGAGACCTCAGTTTACCAGCTATCAAATGTAGATAAGAACAGCTGATAAATAAAAAAAAATAAAAAAAAAAAAAAAAGAGGCAGGGCAGTGGTGGCACACTCCTTTGATCTCAGCACTCGGGAGGCAGAGGCAGGTGGATCTCTGTGAGTTCAAGAACAGCCTGGTCTACAAGAGCTAGTTCCAGGACAGTCTCCAAAACCACAGAGAAACCCCGTCTCAAAAAACCATAAAAAAGGAAAAAAAAAAAAAAAAAAAAAGGATTGGAGAGATGGCCCAGTGGTTAAGAGCACAGGCTGCTCTTCCATAGGTTTTCCATAGGTTCTGAGTTCAATTCCCAGCACCCACATGGTGACTCATAACCATTTGTAATGAGATCTGGTGCCCTCTTCTGGCCTGCATGGATATGTAATAAATCTTAAAAAAAAAAAAAAAAAAAAAAAAAAAAAAACAAAAACAAAAACTGAAAGATGGCAGATGGCAGTTCTTACATAGACCTGGAGATCAATTCCCAGCATCAACTCACAACTGATTATAACTATAGTCCCATGGGATCCAATGCCCTCTTCTGTATTTCAGAGGTACATATAGACAAAACACCCATATACATAAAATACATAAATAAATTTTAAAAATCCAGCGAAAATATTAGCATTTGATACCATATATGCTCCAGGAAGCATCAAGTCTGCCCTCTACCTGTAGGTCCCACACCTATGGATTCATTCAACCCAGACTAGAAATAAACAAATACACTCATTTGTGCACACAGATATACAATATGTGTAAATCACTGACTTGTTTGAGGATAGTCTTTTTGTACACTGTGAAGATGTATCTTTGCCATGGTGGCACCTTCTGATTGGTTTAATAAAGAACTGAACGGCCAATAGCTAGGAGAGGATAGGTGGGGTTTCCAGGGAAAGAGAGGAAGAGGAGATGAATATAGGCTCTTGAGAGATACCAGTGAGCTGTGGACCAAGTCCACATATGGACATATGGAATGGAGAGGTAAAAAAGCTATAAGAGCCAGTTAAAGACAAGCATAAGCTAGAGGCCAAGCTCTCATAATTAATAAGTTCTGTGTAATTTTTTGTGAGCTGGTAGTCCCAAAAGAAAGTTAAACAACACTGACCGTGTGGTGGTTTTTTGTTTTATATTCTTTTGGGATGGGGAAGTCTTAATACAGTCTCCAGGCTACTCTCAAACCCATCACCTTCCTGCATCAACCTTCCCAGTGAGGGAATTACATACATAAGGTAAGGTATAATGCTGAAATCATTTGAAAATATTAAAAATAAAACCTTTTATCTGTGAACACATAAAGAGGTTTTACCTTGTTATTGATTTATAGTAACAAGTACTCACACAGAATTGTGCTGTATCAGATGTTACAGGTGGTCTAGACTTGCTTTTCAGTTTGTAAGGGGGTATATATATATGTATATATATATATGTGTGTGTGTGTGTGTGTGTGTGTGTGTGTGTGTGTGTGAAACTTCACCAACTGAAGGCATCTACAAGTAGAAGGTTCCTAAAACTAATGTCCTTCCCACTTACATGAGTACAGTCTGTCACCCAAAAAAAGTCATGTATGTGTTCTGCCTGCAATGACATAAATGTGGGACAGCTGAGAGGCTATAGAGGAGCCACCGTATTCTCGTCCTCCCTGGGTTTCTTTATCAGAAGAAGGTGAAACTTAGACATCATTCCCTGGTTCCCTGAAGGGATGATATAATGTTTCCATGTTGAACACCACTAATGGCTAATGAGCTCTACAAGGGTACAATGTTATCACTAACACCCACCTGCCAATGAAAAAGGATACTTTTGTTTTTGTTTGTTTTAGGCACAAGTAGTCCAGGCCTTCCTACCAGCCCTGGATTAGCCTTGAACTCTCTCCATCTTCTGCCTCAGCTTCCCAGCTGCTAAGATGATAGCTGTGTATCACCACAACCAGGGTAAGACACTCTGTTAGGGGAAATGTACTGACACAGAACACAGGGCAGTAACACGAGCTAGGAAAGCCAGGTGGAAAAGCTTATAACCAAGATTCAGTACACCTAGAGCTCTCTCCTACACACCACTGGTCAGAATGTTAGGACAAGACACATCACAGCTTGCTCAGTTTTTCTTTCTTTTTCATAGTTTTTTGGTAACATTTTCAGCATGTATTAGATGTGATGGGAAAATGCATGCTTTCATTATAAAATTAAATGAAAAACAGAACTAAAGCACTGAGAATGTGCTCAACAGGTCTGAGCCAAGGGAAGGTGAGAGAATGTTGCCTACCATGTATAATGCTCTGGGTTTACTCTTTAGCACCTCACTTGAAAGGGAAAAAACAAAGAGAAAGAAGAGAGGGAGGGAGAAAAAAGAAGGAAGGGAAAGAGACAGGAGGAGAAAACAAAGAAAAAGGAGAAAAGGATAGAGGAGCGAAGGAAGGTTAGTTGTGAAGTTGGGCTGCAGGCCACAACCTGTGTCCTCCCCAGGACCCCGCTGCTTACCTTGGTCAGTCCTCTGGGCAGCAGCCTCCTCTTCTTCCTCCTGGCGCTTAGCCTGCTCCTCCTGGGCCCGCTGCCGCTCTAGTTTTTTCATCATCTTGAGGTCCTTCCACTTCTTTTTCTCTTCTTTCTCTGGAGAAGATTTGGTAGGAGAAGAGGGCCTTGGCATAGGGAAAAGAGCTCCTGCTCACTGGGCCAGCCTGGGCTCCAGTAGGTGCCAGGGAAGCTCCCCGCGGATAGAGATTCAAAGAGGGCTTCGCGGGGCATTAGGTGGTCTTGGGGATGGGAGAGTTTAGCCCATTTGCCCAGGCCGGCCCCAGCCCTTACTTACTTTGCTGCTTCCATTTTCGCCATTCAACCCTTTGGCCATGTTCACCCTGGAAGAGTAGGGGAAGACTGAGAGGCTAAACAGTCATACATCGGAGGGGAGCATCGTTGCTGGCCTCCAGCCTCCTGAATTTCCCAAACCAGGCATGGGTACATAGGCACTCGCTGTGCTCAAAGCCTGGAGTCAGGCCCGGCACAGAAAGCAACCGGGAAGCTAAAGGATGAATTCCCACAGGACAAAAGAAGAAACTGAGGCACGGGGAGGAGAGGTTTTCCACAACATTGCCCCAGGAATCAAAAGCAAGCCAGGAAAGTGCTCAGGAGCATGAGCACCATCGCCCTGCGGAATGTAGCCAGGGCCAGATATCCTCGCGAGCTCAGGTCTCGGGCAAGCGGCGGGGAGGGAGCACCCGAGCCGACACCATGGTGAGATGCCACAGCTACCATGCCTTGCCCGGAACCCCATCTGCCTCCACTTACCGGGCCACACGGACGCTTTCTCGAGTGCTCCGCCATTTTCCCGGAACACCACGGGCTTGCCAATCAGCCTTGCCTCTTCCGGCCACTCCTCCGCAAAGCTGCTCAATCGAAGGCCCTAAGGCACGTAGGGGCGTGGCATAGGAGTCATGGGGAGGTGGAGCGCAGACACTCCGGTGCAGATGTGCAGGGAACATCTGTTGTTCCTCTCTGCATTAAATCACTTCACATCTCAGTGTGTCCTCCCCATGTCCCCTGGGCGACATTCAGTTTACATATTTATGTAAATTACTTTAAGAGTAGTTTAATTCAGTGCTTCAATTAGTTCATTTACACTTTCTTTTTACTTATCCATTAATTTTCCTGGGAATTCAACTAAGGGCCTGACACACGCTAAATCAAGTGCTCCACCAGTGATTTACATTCCCAACCCTGTACAGACTTTATTCCTTATCACTTTTTGTTTGAGTGTGGTTTTTCTTCTTAAGCCTTTGCAATACTTGATTCTGGGCCATTTCTTAGGAACCTGGTCTGATCCTTCCACCTGGCCAGTATTTAATTAAAACTTGCTTCAATTTTGACTTTAAACCCTGATCGTGGTCTTATTCTCTCGATCGATCAGTGGGATTAACCTAAAACATTCATGCCTGGTAGTTTTGTATTAACTTTTTGTCTTGTTTTTCAAGACAAGTTTCTCTGTGTAGCCCTGGATGTCCTGGAACTCACTCTGTAGACCAGGCTGGCCTCAAACTCAGAGACCCATCTGCCTCTGCCTCCTACAGACTGAGATTAAGGGCAGGAGTTTGTATTAACATTTTAGAATGATATGATACTTCGTTACAGTTGGGAAAGTTACTGACACATTATTATCAACCAAACAAGCCTCTCTTTGTGTTGTATTTTCTTTTTGTCTGTTTTGCTTGCTTTGGTTTTGTTTGTTGAAGTACCGTCCATCCTCCATCCTCATCATCCCAAGTGCTGAAGTTAAAGGCAGGCATCATCATGTTCTCTGGGTTTGATGTTACTTATTTTATTTGTATGAGTGTGTTGTCAGCTTGTATGTCTGTGCACCACAGGCTTGCCTGGTGTCTCAGGAGCCCAGAAGAGAGCATTGGGTCCCTTTGCACTGAAGTTACAGTAGGATGTGAGCCCCCATGTGTGCGTGATGGGGTGAACCCAGGTCCTCTGGAAGAGCAAACTTTTTCTTAACTGCCTAGCCATCTCTCCTGCTCCCAGGTCACTTCTTTGAAGGGGGTGGGTGGATGACTCAGAGGCTCACTGTGAATCTCACACAGGCTTTGGCTCAAGATCCTCCTACCTCAGCTGAGTGCTGGGATTATAAATGTGCACCAAAAAACTGGAGGGAGTGGCAAATGCCTTTAATCTCAGCACTCAGGAGGCAGAGGCAGGTGGGTCTCTCTGAGACCCTGTCTCAAACAAAACAAAACAACAAACCAGTGTGCACCATGCAGCCAGCTTCACCATCACATTGATATACCCAGAGGCAGGCTTAGATGTGAGTTGTGGGCAGATTCTGGGATGATTCATGAGAAATGAGATCTTTGGTCAGAGTGATCTTTTATTTATTTTTATTCATGTGTGTACATGTCTTTCTGTGTCTGTTTGTATACTCTCTACCTTTGAGGCAGGATTGTTCCCCAAGCCTGAAGTTCATGGTTTCTAATCAGGCTGGAAGCCACTAAGTCTCTTGTCTCCACCACGCTCCTGGCTGGGGTTAAAGTCATGTATGGGACACATAGTCTGTAAGGTCAGTGCTGGGAACTGGCTTTGAACTCACAATGTAGCAGAGCCAGACCTTGAACTCCTGATCCTCCCTAATCCACCTCAGGAGTAAAATAATGGGGTGAACCATCAGACCTGGCCTTTGTCAAGGAACTTCAAATTAAGAATTTTATGAGTTTACCCTATAGAGGACTTTATCATCCTTCGATGTGCAGCAGTGCCCTGTGGCTTGGAAGGGAAAGATGCACCATGTTTTTTCTGACACCAAGTGTTGTGATGCTTTGTGTTCTGACAAATAAAGCTGGACTGCAGATCAGAGGGTGGAGCTAGCCTCTAGTTAACCATAGAGGTCTGGAGGTCTGTACAGAGAGAAAGGAAGTGATAAGGTGGGCAGAGACAGGAGTTTGCCGCTTTTCAGTCTGAGGAGTCAGAGAGCTAAGAGGTGACGGTGGCTGGTCCTTTCTTCCTCTGGTCTTTTACCCCAGTATCTAACTCTGGGTTTTTATTAAGATTAATTAAGATCACACTTCATGTGGTGTCCAACTTTGGAGCATGGATTCACAATACTCCAGCATATGTCACTAGTAAAATCAAGCAGTGTTTTGCATATTATAATATAAAATGTATTACAGGTATATCACACAGTGCTACAGGGCAAGCAATCATAGAAAGACCAAATAGATGCTGAAGGGGTGTTGGCACACACTTTTAATCCCAGCACTTGGGAGGCAGGGCAGGTTGATCTCTGCCAGTTCAAGTTCAGCCTGGTCTACAGAGTTCCAGGACCAGGAAGGACAAGCTCAAAGAAATACCTTGTCTCCAAAAAAAAAAAAAAAAAAAAAAAAAAAAAAAAAATCAAATAGAACTCTAAAGGAAATGCTTGATAAACAGAAAGGAGTAATAAAGATTCTCAGAAATAGACTGCATAATGCTTTAACAACTTTAAGTTTTTTAATGCTAATGAGAAAGGGATGACAGCTGCAGAGAGACATTGGAAAATAAAGGGAAAAAAACCTACTAAATTAAATCAGCCTGCATACTTTAAAGATATGTTGACCTCCGAATGGAAACCACAATATGTGTTCCATTGGGAAAGGGGTTTTGCTTTTCCATCAAAATTGATAAAGGTTTGATTTGAACAAGAGAGACCACTTGATTAAAAGAGGCAATAGTTCATTGAACAGTGTAACCATTCAATCTAAACTAACTTGTAAAACGAACAAATGCTTTTCATTTGATCAGATATAACTTACCAAAAGAGAACCTACCCAAAGTTAAGGTTGGGGCATACTTTTATTTTTGTCTTCAGGAGAATATAGGCATCTGGCTAAGGAATCTGAAGACCACTGGACAAATGAAACATCTGAAGAAAAAGCAAGAATCATGCAGAGAAAATGTCCCAAGAAAAAGATTACACCTCCAACAGGATAAAATTTCATAAACCTTTATAATTTTTGTTTCTGATGTTCTCTACAGATACATAATGCAAATGGCCTTTTTGTAGTCCCAGTCCAATTAAAAATTAAAGCTGCCTTTTGGGTTGGAATGTGGCTGTCTCTTTACCTAAATCCAAGCATGCTTGTTAAGGAAAAATCCAAACTCCCTGTCTAATGTCAGAAAAGCCACCCCACATAGGACAGAAGAAAAACCAAAATTAAGGGACTATTTTATTGCCACTAACCTCATGATCCTTTGGTTTTGACTCTTTAAAATTTTTTGTTTGTTTGGGTTTTTTGTTTGTTTTCAAGACAGGGTTTCTTTGTGTAGTTTTGGAGCCTGTCCTGGAACTCACTCTGTAGACCAGGCTGGATTTGAACTCACAGAGCTTCACCTGCCTCTGCCTCCCAAGTGCTGGGATTAAAGGCATGTACCACCAAGGCCCGACCCTTAAATTTATTTTTAAACCAAAAAAGCAACTACTAGTTTTAAATAATTTACATTGATATAGATTTGTGTATATTGATACAAATTTAAGGTTTTTAAAGAACATACTATATATACATTTCTAATTTTGTTCAAGGTTATCATACCTATAAAGCTCATTTAACAATGTTACACAAATTCCTAGACCTTGAAAGTTATTATTACAAAATATTTAGGATAATAAAAAAATACAAGCTAGTAGTATTACAGTTAAATTTGTAGCTGGGTATGTTTTCAAGGTCAGGGATTATATTTTCGATAGATAGGTAGTCTTCAAACACTTCAGAAATCTTAACACATTTAAGATGTTTTAATAACATAGGTTCTGTTTTTTGTTTTGTTTTTTTGACACTGAGACATGTCTGCTGCTGGCAGCACCAGTATACTTTGGAGAAGATGATGGGCATTGAAGAAACTCCATATGGCAAAAGTTGGCCACTGTGTAAGAAAGTGTTTTTTGCCTCAACTGCTGACAGTATACTGTCCAAATTAGACATGTAGGACACAAGGATAGTGACTGCTGAACTTTGCCAAACAAGGTAGGGAAGTCCTTCAGAATATCATTCACAGAAAAGTCTGTCAGAAATTCTAGGCCTATTGACCCAAGATGGATGCCCCAACATTGCAGGGGAACCCTGGGTGACTGTCCAGGCAGCCAGCTGTTTCTGTCATTTCTCACATTTTTTGGAAGTCACTTGCTAACACTTCCAGCTTAGTAAGCTAATAGTATTTCCTTCTCAGGTCTCTGAGGGAGTTGAAGACAAGATAGTTATAGTTTTCTTTCTTAACAAATTCAGAAAAGAATCTCACAAAGAAATGTAAACTGTATAAGGTTGAAAGATACAGAACAATAGCTTTGGGTTGGTAATATAAGTTAGGATAGAAAGTGAACTAGGTATAAAACCTTGAATTTAATTGAATATATAATGGAGTATTTTCTCTAAATTTGTCAAATGTTAATGGACTAGACATTGTTAATATAATTATTGCCTGTATCATTGTTAATATAATTATTGCCTGTATATATTTGTATATAGTTACTGTACTTGCTGTATATAGTTTTTCTATGTTAGTTATAACCTCTTCTTATTTCAGACAAAAGGGGGAAATGTTGTAATATTTTGTTTGTGTTCTGACAAAGCTTCCCTGGGGATCAGAGGGTAGAGCAAGTCACTCGTTAACCATAGAGGTCTGGAAGTCTGTATATGCAGACAGGAAGTGATAAGGTGGGGCAGAGGCAGGAGTTCTGCCCTTTTCAGTCTGAGGAGTTGGAGAGATAGGATCAAACATCAACCAAGTATGTTCCAATGATGATTCTTGGCTGGGATGCAGCTCAGAATTAAGGGTGTGAGTTAACATGTGTGAGGCCCTGGTTTGATCCCCAGCAACATGTGTGTGTACAATTGCTCACAGAGCCTAGAAAGACAGTGTTGGGTCCCTTGGAGCTTGAGCTTCAGGTGGTTGTGATTTGCTAGATGTGGGTTCTGGGAACGGACCCCTTGTCCTCTGCTAGAACAACAAGTACTCTTAACCACTAAGCCATCTCTCTGGCCCATCAGACTCTTCCCCTCTTCTATTTTATAGATCTGGATGCCATCTGCTTCTAGCAGTGCAGATAAAAGCCAATTAGTTCTTTTCACTAAATTTGTCTTTTGACAGGTTTTATTATTTATTTATTTATTACCTATGCACATCTGATTCAATCATTGCCCATGGCTGGGGATGGAGCTCAGTGGTTCAACATTAGGCATGCATGTGAAAAGCCATGAGTTCAATCCTTAGCACTGCCAACAAAACAAACACAAAATCAATAAAGCCAGGACTGATGGTTTAGGCTTATAATCCTAATACTCAGGAGGTAGAGGCAGAGACAGAAGGATTGCCATGAGTTTGAAGCCAACCTTGGCTACAGTGTGACACTGACCTCTTCTGGCAACCTCCAAAAAGAAAAGTATCATTGGCCTTGTGATTAAACTGAAAGTCCAGTACCACACCATTCTCTGAGGACAAAAGAGGGGAGGGAGTGACCCTGAAACTCTGACACTAACCCCAGCTTATTAGTTTTATTTTTTGCTTTTCAGAGACAGCATTTCTCTGTAGCTTTGGAGCCTGTCCTGGAACTCACTAGAACAGGCTGGCCTTGAACTCAGAAAGATCCATCTGTCTCTGCCTCTGAGTGCTGGGATTAAAGGCAAGTGCCACCACTGCCCCACCCAAAGGAGCTTTTTAAGATTAACTACTATCTATCACAAAACTTCATGTCTTAGGAATTCTGTTCCAGGAGAAAACATTTTTTAAAGTTCTTATATCTTATGTCCCCATCATTTCTCTAGGTTAAAAAAAAATGTGAATGAAACTCCTGAGTATACTCTACAAATGAGCATGACTCCCAGCATGGCCTTTTATTGGGATTTAGGGACTACAGTGGGCCAAATTGCACTACTATGCCAGGTGTATAATGTGCTGTATTCTCAGTATTTTGGAAGCAGAGGCAGGAGGTTGACAAGTTTGAGACAGCTTGGTCTACATATTGAATTTCAGGCCTGTCTAAAAGCCCTGCCCAAATCAAACCTCACTTCCACTTTTAGGCAAGCGCTCACTGGCCAGGGTGGCTCCCCACACTGTCTTCCCCTACAATAGCTCCTCAGCAAGCTGTCTGGACTTGCAGGTAAGCCTGGACCAATGGGGCTGCTCATATGCCCCTCCTACCACTGTGAACACACCAGACTGTTCTTGAATCCCTGTGAAGATATCGCCAAGACTCCATCCCCATCCACACACACAAACACCCTAACCCAGCCTTCAACTTGCACCCTCTGAGGATGAGGAACATAGCAGACAGCTTGGATTTGAGGAGTCTGGGTTGCCATGAACAAGCCCTTTGACTTCAGATAAGTTCCTAGTTCCCAACATTCTCTGTCTCTCTCTGTCTCTCTGTCTGTCTGTCTGTCTGTCTGTCTGTCTGTCTGTCTCTCTCTCTCTCTCTCTCTCTCTCTCCTCATAGGGAAGGTGTAGGGTCTGAGGTTCTCTGAGGTCCCTTCCAAATTGTTCTAAGCCCTGTTGAGCAGGCAGTCCAGGGAAAGAGAGATGCTGTCTTGAGGACTCTAATAACTTAAAACTTTATTAGGAACACAAGCAATCAGCCAGAAGCAACATCTTGAGGTCATATGAGAAAATATGGAGAGCTCCTGAATCTCAGCAGGGCTAAGTTAAGGCTGAGGATGAGGCTGGGGCTCCAGGCCTGATACTCAGTCCTTCAATGTCCTAGGCAGAGAGATCAGAAGTAACCATGACCCTAAAATAACCTACAGAGGAGAGGAATGAAGGCCAAACCAAGACAGCAGTCCAGACCCTGTAGGGAAATATTGCTGAAACCCCCACATCAATGGCCTCCTTCCTGGATGCATGCCCAGTCACACAGCTGGGTCCTCCAGTGCCACTTCTGTGATAGGGCACAGCTAAGCCTCGCTGTGTAGGGCGGGGTTGAGGAGTCTCAGGGCTGTAGCTCTCTTTTCCACTTCTGCAGCCTCTCATCCATGGCCTGGAGTGTGGCCTCATCCTGCAAGACACACATTGAGCCTTCTCGCCCTATCCAGTGGCTGCCCGGGTCCATTGAGGTTCTCCCATCCTTTTCTTACCTTCACAAAACAGAAGCGAATGTAGTGGTCAAAGTCCTTCTGATGGGGCTTACTGAAGAAGATGGAGACAGGGATGGCAACAAGGCCCTGGGGAGGAAGAAGCCCGTGTGTGCATACAGCCTTGAGATCCAAGACATCAGTTCAGGGAACAGAGTAAAGGCTTAGTGTGTCTCCTCTACATGCTGTGGTGGTTGGGACAGAAGCCCCAGGGTATTATACTAGTACTAGGTTCCTCCCAGGGTGCAGAGAGAGAGAGACAGACAGACAGAGAGAGAGAGAGAGAGAGAGAGAGAGAGAGAGAGAGCAGACTGTGTAGCATGCCAGGGAAGAGCTGGGGAACTACTAAGTTTGAACCTCAGTGATCTGAGCAGGGTGATGAGAGCAAATCCTCACTAGATCCTCACTGTATGGGATACAGCCATGCTCAGAGAAGGGCAGGGACTTCTGGAGCCAGTATGGCTTCTTTATGCAAGCGAAAAAGACTGTGCAGGCAGCCTTGTATCAGGAGTCATGCTAAGGTCCTTTGACTGGACACCCTAGAACAGTGCACAGGATGTGCAATGACACCCACTGACCCCATCAAGAACTCCAGTCTACCTTGTTTTTGATCATCCACTTGGCAAAGCATCTGTCGTAGGGCTCATCCTCAGCACCAGGCAGGTTGGGCATCTTCCTCTCTGGGACAACACAAGAGGTCATGCTGAGTCCTAGCCACCTTTGATACCTCCCCAAATCCTGAGTGACATGGCCAATGCCACTCACTGAAGTCTGAGATGTCTGCAATGAGAAAATAGCTGCCCTGGGGGATCAAGGGCTTGAGGCCCACTGACTGCAGACTACGGATCATGTGGTCTCGGTTGAGCTGCATGGCCTTCGGGAGCTGCAAGAAGTAACTGCTGGGCTGTCCAAAGTGCTGCTGCTCCTGTTCAAAGCACTGGGCTACTGCGGCCTGGACAGGGCAGATGGAAGGAAGGACAGAGTGAATGGATGGAAGGGCAGGGCGGAGGGATGGACAGGACAGGGTGGATGGGAGGACAGGACGGATGGGAGGACAGGGTGGACGGATGGGAGGACAGGGCAGCTGTGACCAGTCTGCGGGCTTTCACTGCCCCTTGCCCTGTAGCCTTGCCCCACCATGTGTTTTCCCACACTTCTCACCTGGCCCTGGGTGGGGCAGTGGAAGACAGAGTTCTGATGCACAGTCCGCAGGTGCTTCATGATGTTATCTGGACCCATAACCCAGCCCACCTAGACCAGGACATAGTCAGTGAGAGCCCCAGGGCCAGAGGAAGCCTTTCTTAACCCTCCCACGGCTGTCACCCGCCAAGTGACTACACTTACCTTCCAGCCGGTGGCACTGAAGCTTTTGCCTGCACTGCCGATGGTCAGGGTCCGTCCCCACATGCCAGGGAGGCTGGCTGTCCGGGGCCAAGAAGAGCAAATGCTGAAATGGGGAGTGGAGGGAGGGAACCCAGGGACAATCACAGCCTCTTAACTGAGGACTGGTCCTCTAAGCTGCTGACAGGACCCATTCCATTGCCTGCTCCTGACAGCCTCAGGAAGCAGATGCTACTGCATTCCTCAGATCTCGGGAGGAGAAGTGCCTGCCCATGGTCACACCACAGTTCCACAGCCCTGGGTCCTGATCACCAGGCCTAGGCTGCTCCCAGTTTAGGCTTAAGCCCTGGTCATGTGTCCAGGGAAAGCTGTGGCAGGCCCGGCTCACCGATGCTGACATGCTGGTGCCCATCATAGACCAGCCACTGGTAGACTTCATCAGAGATGCACAGGACATCATGCTTCTGGCACAGGTCAGCCACCAGCTCCAGCTCCATCTTAGAGAACACCTGTGGGATCCAAAGTCACAGGTGTGCAGCTGGGAATGTCCCCAAGTGCAGAAACTGCTCAGAGGGCTTCTCTGGACCATCCCTTTGACCAGCTCTGCAATACTGACTCTGTAGGGATTGCTTAGCTCTGGATTCCACTGCACAGAGAGGTAAAGTCAGCACGAAGTGGTTAAGGCACTAGGCATCCATGCATCTAGGCATTCACACCTCTGGGAGGGTTGGGTCCTCCCATTTCACACAAGGAAACTAAGGCCTGAGAGAGCTCATGCTCAAGATGAGAAGGGAAACCCAGCTGCAGGGGTCTCTGAACGAACCCCCTGGTACCTTTCCCAAAGGGTTGTTGGGCGTGTTGAGGACCAGGGCCTTGGTACGAGGTGTGAACTTGCTAGCTAGTTCTGTGGGGTCCAGCTGCCAGTCATTGCTGTGTTCCAACTGTCCCTTAGGAGCAGGGCTCTGCAACAGGAGATGGGAGGGGCAGCAGCATTCACTTTCCTGACAGCCACCCATGTCCTTATGCATCTGTCTCCATCTCTCTCCTTTCTGCTCTGGACTCCACCCCCACACCCTCCCAGCTCAGAGGACTCTCTTCCTTGTCCCATGTTCTAGGATCTAGCCCAGCTCATACCTTGGGTCCCTTAACCCACCCATAACCATCCAGCATTCCTTACCGGCCTCAGGGACACAAACACGGGCCGACCTCCAGCCATCAGTGTCATGGGTTCATAACAATCAAAAGCAGGTTCTATGATGATGACCTGGTACAAGGGTCAGATTAGCTGTGGTCTCTGCTGCCCTGAGCTAGCGTTCATTCCACCCCATTCAGGTTTCACTTCTTACCTCATCACCTTCGTCCACCAGGGCCTGGAAAGCTGTGAACAAGGCCCCATAGGCACCCACTGTCACCAGCACATTCTTGAGCGGGTCCAACTCCTGTCCCAGCAGCTTGCCAAAGAAACTTGCCAGGATTTTTGTCAGTGGTGGGTAACCCTGCCAGGACAGTGGGTTCAGGTACCCAGTATCAGCCTAGACTCCTCCAGCTCAGCTGCACCCAGGCTATCTAGAACCTTCTAGCAAAGTCAGTTTTCCTGGGCTGAATTGTTACATCTCCTTCAGTGACCTTGACTATGGAATCCCAGGCACAGTAACAGAAGGATGCTGAACTCCACCCACTGGGTTGTGCCCCATGAGCCTTGACACCTATGTGGTGCTGTGCCTGTTCTTCAGGACCTCCATGAGATGCAGGAGACTCACAAATGCCATGGTGTACTGGTTGAGCATGAAGTTCCCACTGGTGGCCTGCTGAAAAGCTTGCACAGCAAAGTCTGGAGGTGAGAAGTCGGGGAAGCCCTGGCCCAAGTTCACGACATCATACTCTTTGGACAGTCTGATAAACTCCAGCCTGGTAACAAACAAAGAGTCAGCCCCAGGCCACCTCCCAGGAATACTTCTGCCTGTTTGCAGGTCAGGGTGAACATGCATGAGACCACTCTAGAAAGACAGATGACATGCCTCTACCCCCAACTGTGTGGACCCCATATTTTGAGGTGGCCAGGCCCTCACAATTTTATGGCTCAGCCCAGGAGACTTCAAACTTTGACCATGACCCATGGTAAGAAACATTTATATATAAACCATGTGAATGGCAAGTAGGAGACTCTAGGGTGTCACAGGCCACCCCTGAGCCATACCCAAGCTGCCCTTATACTTCAGAGGCACCTCTTGAATGGGATGTGGTGATGTATTCCTCAGAGGCCCCAAAGGGATTTCCTAACATGTAATGTATCTGTCCCCAGCACAGTGTGGAAACACTTGACTCACATCACCTCCTGGTGACCTGTGTGACTCACTGTGCTCTGGGTTACTCCAAGAACATAGAGCTGAGTGCCAGTCAGTGCCAGGCAGCTCCTTTGTATCTTGCCAATGGCCTTCATAACAAGCTGGTGAGATCAGGAGAGCACATTCTCTGAGTACTATGCTTTCTTCTGGAGAATTAAGTGATCTGAGGAGGCTGTGATGGGATCAAGAAGTGTGTGTGTGTGTGTGTGTGTGTGTGTGTGTGTGTGTGTAAGTCACCTGTGTTGTGAAATATTATTTTTTGTTTGTTTGTTTTTGTTTTGAGACAGGATTTCTCTGTACTGCTTTGGAGCCTGTCCTGGAACTTGCTCTGTAGACCAGCCTGGCCTCAAACTCACAGAGATCTGCCTGCTTCTGCCCCCACCCCCACCCCAGTGCTGGGACTAAAGGTATGCGCCACCAACACCCTGCTGTAAAACATTATTTTAACTAGACAAAGATGTGTTTCATTTGTTTATGCAGCAAATGTTACTTTAACTGTGTAAAGATGTGTAGCATTTGTTTGTGGTATTTGTTTAATCATGTAAGGATGTGTTTTTTAATTATGTAAAGATGTGTTTCAGGGCTGGAGAGATGGCTCAGTGGTTAAGAGCCCTGACTGCTCTTCCAGATGACCTGGATTCAATTCCCAGATCCCACATGACAGTTCACAACTGTCTGTACCTCCTGCCCCAGGGGATCTGACACCCTCACACAGACACACATGCAGGCAAAATACCAATACACATAAAATGAAAATAAATAGTCTTAAAAAAAAAAAAAAAAAGATGTTTCAATTGTTTCACTTTGCCTGCCAAAGGCACCTGATTGGTCTAATAAAAGCCGAATGGCCAATAGCTAGGCAGGTGCGGGATAGGCGGGGCTGCTGAGCAGAGAGAATAAACAGGAAAAAAAGATTGAGAGAAGAAAAGAAAGAGGAGGAGAGAACAAGGGACACTCCTGGGGTAAGAAGCCAGGCAGCCACCAGCCAGACAGACATAGAGAAGCAGGAAAAGTAAGATACACATAAGTAAGAAAGGTAAAAATCCCTGAGGCAAAAGGTAAATAAAGAGAAACAGGTTAATTTTATGGGCAGTGGTAGTGCATGCCTTTAATCCCAGCAGTCAAGAGACAGAGGCAGGTGGATTTCTGTGAGTTTGAGGCCAGCCTGATCTACAGAGCGAGTGCCAGGACAGCCAGAGCTACACAGAGAAATCCTAGGGAGAGGAAGAGGAGGGAGATGGTGAGGAGGAAGGGGAGGGGAGAGAGGGAAAGGAGGGGGAGTAGGAGGGGAGGGAGGGAGAGGGAAAGAGGAGGGGGAGAGGGAGAGGGAGCAAATTAATTTAAATCAAAAGAGCAGCCAGAAACAGTGCATAAGCTAGGCTGAACATTCCACATTAATAAGTCTCTATCATGATTTGGGAGCTGGTTGGTGACCCTAACGAAAAAGACTGGTACAAACCTGTCTCTGCCTCCTTAGTGCCAGGATTACAGTATGCCATGACTCAGGCCCTCAAGCTTGAGGGGCCATCACTTTTCTGAATAGGCTATCTTTCCAGCCCCCATATTAGCACAGACTACAATGTGTGTCTGGGATTGGATCTGTAATGGTGTACAATGCTGTGTGTCTAAACCCTGATGTGGTGGGACATGGTAGGACCAAGGACAGAACACATCAGGCACACAGGGTGGGCACACCTGTGAGGTATTTTTCCTTAATTAGATCTTTTGAAATGGGAATGTTCACTTTTGATCCAGGTCTTTTGAGGTGGGAAGAGCCACTCTTACTTAACCTGGGCCACACCTTCTGCTGAACAGAAGCTTTTGCTCTTTGCCTGCTTGCTCTTGCTCTGGCTGGCAAATCCATTCCCTCGCTGTATTACAGATTACTTCTTTGGGATTCTTGTGTGTACTGAAGACATTCAGACTCATGGACTGAAAAACTACTGGATTCTAGGATTTTCAGGTTGACAGCCATTGTTGGTTAGTTGGACCACAGCCTGTAAGCCATTCTAATAAATTCTGCATGTGTGTCTGTGTGTGTGTGTGCACATGTGCATCCATTCTATCAGTTCTGTTTCTCTAGAGAGCTCTTTGATGCACTTCTGGAATGTTTTCAAGTGTACAACTCTGTGTATGCACCTGGCTTAATGTACAGAAAGGGGGAAGGGAAAAAACTCTTTTGAACACACTTCCCACTGTGTTTACTGTAGCACTAATAACCATATGCACACAATCCTTCCATACACCCCCCACTGTGTTTACTGTAACACTAATAACCATATGCACACACAATCCTTCCATATCCTAAGTGTGTTAGAAGACCAGCATGGAGCCTGGGTCCCATCCCTAGCACTGAGGAGGAAATACTGGCCTGTACCATACTTTCTCCTTTTTCCCCATCATCCTGTGTATGTGTGTGGTATACATGTATGTATATGCATATCTGCATGTATAGGCACACGTGTGTGGATACACATGTGTGCAGATGGAGAAGATTGAAGTTGAGCATCATTCTCTCTTGTTCTCCCACCTTATTCAATGAGACAGGGTCTCTCAGTAAACCCAGAGCTCACCAATATGGCTAATCTTGCTGGCCAGTTTGCTCTGGGGATCTCTTGTCTCTGTCTTTCAAGGCTGGATTTACAAGACAAGGAGCCATGGTTACTAGGTATTTACATGGGTGCTGGAGACCTGGTCCCTGGTCCTCATGCTTGCATGGCAAGCACCTAAACACTGAGCCATCCCCCAGCCTTGTATCATACTTTCTTAGCTTATTTCAAAGTACCTATGAAATACAATGAAGGCTGACCCTTTGTGTTTGTGGAAAAATGGGTTTCAGACCCCCTCCATCCATAACATTTGCATATGATCTGAGCCCTCTTCCCGCATCGCATCCTTTCCTTTTTCCCCATGCTGGCCATGAAAGCCAGAGCTGCGAACACACTATGCCTACACGGGCACTGGAGCATTGAGGTACATCCCAGCCCTTCCCACACCCCTCATCTCTAGATCATTAACACCCAGTCATTGTACATGCCATATAAACAGCTATCACGCTGTATTGCTCAGTGACTCAGTAAGGGGGTCTTTCCTTTTCAGTATGTTTAGTGTGTGTGTGTGTATTTTTGGTGTATGTACCTTGAACATGCATGTAGAGCCCAGAGTAGGTAGGCAAGTGTCTTGATCTATGACTCTTTCCTTATTCCCTTGAGATAATCTCTCCCGCTGGACCTGGAGTTAGGATGCAGAAGAACAAGCCCCAGCAAGCCTCCTGTCTCTGTTCCCATAGTTACAAACAAATATGACATGCCAAGCTTTGCACAAATATAAGTGCTAGGATCTGAATCCAGGTACTCTAGCATACGCCACAGGCACTCATAGCCACTGAACCATCTCTCCAGCCACAAGATACATTTTTTTTTTCTAAAAATGTTTTTGTTCTCCAATTGGTTGATTTCCCAGATGTGTGGAAGCCATAGGTATGAAGCAGTTATCACCCAAGGGGGCCATGGCTTACTGCCTGATTTGGAGCTGCTGCTAGTCCACAAGACCCTTCAGAGAGGTAAAATCATCTCCATTCTGAACCAGTGTCTCCAGCTTTACACCACAGTCAAGCAGGATGATGTTGAGACTTAAGGCTAGTCTGCTACCTTGAGCCTTGCCTCTCCTGTGCTGTGGCTGTCACTAACCATCCTGGGTATACCGCATTACTACATTACTACAAATCAGGGACGGTCAGCCCATGGGAGAAGGGACACCCAGACACCTTCCCAACCCATCAGCTCACCAGGGGTTGTGATCGATCCCATTCAGCCTTCGAGCCTGCAGCTGTTTGGCCATGGTGAGCTGGATGCAGAGAAGGGAAATTCGATGTGAGAATCTTGTGTGGAGTGTGAGCAACCCCAGACAGTGGCTTTAAGATCACAGCCCCACCCTTTGCTTTCCTGGAATGGGTGGAGACTCAGCCTCAGGTAGCCAGGCTGGCTGGAACCTGCTCTCCCAGACTACTACTCTTGCTGACTTTCTACAGGGTTCCATCACCCTTCCGTCCTTTGCCACCCACTGGCAGGGTACTGTGAGGGTGGAGCACACCAGTGCTGACTCTGTGTGTCCTCAGATACAGCCCTGATGGCCAGGTTACAGGTGACTCCAGAAGGGCCGAGGAAGAGGAATGTGAAGAGGGGAGAATGGTGGTACCGGGAACAGGGATCACTTGGATTGGCAAAGGATATCCTGGGCTTGTCATACTCTTAGGATGATCTGACTGGTTCCTTGAGCAGACCAGAGCTTGGAGTGAGCATAGGAAGTAGTGTATTCAAGGTCACACAAAAAACTAAGACTCAGGACTGCTGACTCCAAGCCAGCTTTGAACTCCGGTGAGGGGGCTGTGCACTCAGGCTCAGGGGGGACAATGCTAGGTCACTCCCATGCTTGGAGGCCTCCTACTGTGCAGTAGAAAATCGTGATTGGGGGTCAAGATCTGCTAATTTCCCACAGCAGCCACCACAGGTGGTGTGCTTATCTGCACACCCCATATAAGGAATGAGGCACACAGGGGCCCAGGGAAGAAGCTCCTGCTGACCTGTTGCAGTGCTTACGCAATAGCCTTGACACCAGGCACTGCCAAGGAGAAGCCTTAGGTTATGTGTGGTATGTAAGGCTTCTCAGCAGCCTGACACTCCTGCCAATGGGAATGAGTTGGGGCCTAGCACACTGCATCTTTGCCAGTGACACCTGGATGGTGTCACTTCAGCTAGGACTCACAGTGTAGACCACTAGTTTACAAGAGGGTAGTCCTGAAGGGACTACCTCAGTATAATCAAAATACCAGGGGTGATTTTCTTTGGTATGTTGGTTAGCAGATATTTGAAATTTTCTTCCTTATTATTTTTCAATTTAACCATTTATTTATTTATTTATTTATTTATTTATTTATTTTTGAGGCAAGGTCTCACTATGTAGTCCAGGCTAGCTTGGAACTCAGATGTAGACAGGGTTAGCATTAAACTCAGAGGCTCACCTGCCTCTTCACATATTTTTCGATTTTTTTTTTTTCAAGACAGGGTTTTATTGTGTAGGTCTGGCTCTCCTGGAACTCTCTTTGTAGACCAAGCTGGGAACTCTCTTTGTAGACCAAGCTGGCCTTGAACTCACAGAAATCTGCCTGCCTCTATCCCTGAGTGCTGGGATTGAAGGAGTGCACCATCAAAGCCTGGCATATTTTTCAAATTTTATAAAACAAATGTTCTTTGATTTTTTTTTTTTTTTTTGAGACAGGATTCTTATTCTATAGTCCAAGCTGGCTGAAACTTGCAGTAATACTCCTGCCTCAGTCTCCCAAGTCTTAGAAATTACAGGTGTGAGCCATCAAGCTTGGCTAAATATTTCATTATTCTTGTTACTATTGTGTTTTGAGACACGGTCTGGCTGGCTTGTAATGAAGTTCATGCTGGCTTTGAACTCATAGCAATCCTCTAGTCTCAGCCTCCTACGTGTTGGAATTATAGATATGAATGACTATGGCCAGCTTATTTTTTTTTAATTATTTTTTCTTTCTTTTTTTTTGAGGGTTACTTTGTGTAGCTTTGGAGTCTGTCCTGGCACTTCCTCTGTAGACCAGGCTGGCCTAGAAAAATGTTGGAGACAATGGTAATTTAGAAGAATGTTAGTGTTACAATAGCAATAAACAGTCTGCAAAACAGGATATGCTAAGTATTACAATATTTTTTTAAATGCCAGAGGGCAAGGGCTGTAGCTCAGTGGGTAGGGTGCTTGCCTCCCACACTGGAAGCCCTGGGTTTTCTCCAACCCTGTATAACCAGGCATGGTGGCACGGACCTGTAATGCCAGCATGTAAGAGGTGGAAGTCAAGGATCAAGAAGGTCACGCGTAACTACAGAGTGAGCTTGAGGCCAGCCTGTGCCATATGACACTATGTCTTTAAAAATTAATAAATACATGAAAATCCCCTAATATGCTTCTATCTGTGTATGCACCTTCAGTTCTGTGATCACACATGGGTAGGGGTGAAGCTGGAAGAAGGGAGTCACCGAGGTGCTCACAGGGCCTCTTTCTCCTGGGGGACTGCGACTATGCCCCAGTTCTCTTTGCTTTTCTACTTCCCAGTTTATATTTTTTTATATTTGGTTTTCTGTTTTGTATAGCAATCACATTTTTTTGTTTTGTTTTGTTTTTTTGTTTTGTTTTGAGACAGGGTTTCTTTGCATTGTTTTGGAGCCTGTCCTGGAACTAGCTCTGTAGACCAGGCTGGCCTTGAACTCACAGAGATCCACCTGCCTCTGCCTCCCAAGTGCTGGGATTAAAGGAGTGTGCCACCAACGCCCGTCTTGTTTTACTTTTTGAGAAGCAGGGTTTCTCTGTGTAGCCCTAGCTGTTCTAGAACTAGATTTGTAGGTCTTGAACTCACAGAGAGCTGCCCCTGCCTCTGCCTCCCAAGTGCTAAGATTAAAGGTACGCTCCACTACAATTGGCTTAGTTTTTTTTTTTTTTTTTTAAATTATGGTTTACTTATTTTGTGTGTATGTATGGGAGGGGTATTCTACAGCATGTGTGTGGAGGTCAGGGGACAATTTGCAGGAGTCAGTTCTTAGTTCCTACTATGGGAGTCCCAGGCATCAAATTCAAGTCATCAGAACTGGTGGCAGATACCTTCAGCTGATGAGCCATGTCTCAGGCCATGACAGTTTTATTTCTGGCTCCTTTTTGTTTTTTGTTAGATTCTAACAAGTGCATACTTGACACTGCATCTTTCCTGAATTTGAGTCTGCCTATAACTTACAGCTCTAGTTTATTGGTAGTTCCCCAATTTATCCACATAGAAGCATAACCTCTCCTTGGTGACAACCGCATGAAGCCAAGTACATGGAATGACTATTAGACTGGGGATGTAGCAGAGAGAGAATATGAAAGAGATGAATGAGTGAATAAATGAATGCGTGAATGAGGCCAGACAGTGGGAGTGTTGAGGGACAGAGACTGGCATGAGGGAAGGCAGGATGTGGTGGGGAGGTGTAGGGTGTAGATGGTGCAGGGCACAAGGGCACAAACTCGCTGATGAACAGAAATGAGTGGAGTTGAATGGGGTTTGAGAAGGAGAAATAATTGGAATTCCACAAACTTTGAGTACTCAGGAGGGTGCGTTTGTAAATGGCAGGCAGTACTTGGGTAAATCAGAGAACGGTATACTGTTCTTGAGCTGTGCATGACACAATCAGTCAACCAAGATGTACTGTACACCCACTGCATACTATCAGCTGGGCGGGGCACTGGGATAATGGTCAGGCAGGCAGCAGCCAACAAACTAAGTATCCATGCAGAGCTGAGACCCAGATGAAAGAAGTGGGACCAAGGGAGGTGACCAGACAGCTTGTCAAGGAAGGCTTCCAGAAGAGCAGGCGCATGCACAGCTTTAAAGGCCAGATCAAGCGAGATCCCAGGAGCCCCCAAGAGCCATGAACATGGTAGAGTGCTATGCAGGACACTTACAGTCTGGTGCAAACACCGGGTGAGTGGGGCTCCAGCCTTCCTTCCCCAGACTGGCCACACCAGGAGCACCGAGATGGCTGCTGCTCTCCTGAACATGCCTCCCAGATCCACAGGCACTGTAGACTTCCCCTCCAGGGGTAGAGGAGAAGGGCAGACAGCCTAAGCCAGAAAATGGCTCCAAGCCAGGGACTTGAGTCCCACACACAGTTTTAACAACAACAATAAAGTGTCACTGTGTACCGGGCTGGTACCAGGTGCTTTGCTGCCTGACTCTATTCCCCTTAATCACCTCAATCACACACAGTGACCTTTTAAAATTCAAATCACCTGCAAGGGTAAAATGGCCCAGGAGAAGGTCACTGACAGAGGCTAACAACACAGACAAGGGTTTCAGTTCCTTCCAATTCTGGAAATGCAGTGCAAGCACGCGCGCACACACACACACACACACACACACACACACACACACACACACACGCACTCACGCACGCACACACAGACACACGGACACACAGACACAGCATCCCTGCTACCACAGTGAACCTAACCTGGAATCTAACCCACCACTGGATTGCTACACATGGGACTGAAGAACCTGGTAAATGATACCACAGAGCTACAACTCACAAACCCAAACTGGGGGCTGGAGAAATGGCTCGGCGGTTAAGAGCACTGTTTTTCTAGAGAACTCAGTTTCAATTCCCAGCATCTACACCATAGCTCACAATTGTCTGTAATTCCAGTTCTGGGGTATCTGATACCTTCACACTAATGCACTTAGAATAAAGTTAAATTATTAAAAAAAAAAAAATCAAAACCCCAAACTGACAGAAACTACATGGCATTCGACTCCACTTATTCAACAAATAAAATGTAAAGAAAAAGAAAGGCGCTCTCTTTCTCCCCCCCCCCCCTCAGTTCCATGCTCTCTCTCCTCCTCTTTCCTCTTTCCTGCTGCTTCTGTCTCTGGAGGCCAGTTTCCCCCCTCCCCTTTCCCCTTTTAATGATCCCTTTCCCTAATTAAAAAGAAAGGAAGGAGGGAGGGAAGGAAAGAAGGAAGGAAGGAAGGATGGAAGGAAAGAAGGAAGGAAGGAAGGAAGGAAGGAAAGAAGGCTGGCTGGCACGGGGTCAGCACATGTCTATAACCCCATCACTTGAGAGGAAGAGGCAGGAGGCTCACCAGCAAGTTCTAGGCCAGCCAGACCTGTGCTATATCTAACTGTATTTAGCAGGTTCTCACTATGTAGCTCAAGCTGACTTCAAATTTGCAATCGGGTGGAGAGATGGCTCAGTGGTTAAGAGCACTTTCTAAACCTGCACTGGGGTTATATTTCCAGCACATAACTGGGAACTAACAATCATCTGTCACTCCAGTTACAGATGGTGAGGATCCGACACCCTCTTCCAGCCTCATTGGGCATTGCATACATGTGGTACACAGGCTTATCAGCAGACAAAATACTCATACACATAAAACATAAATACATGTGCAGACCTCCTGCCACAGCCTCCTGAGGATTGTTGGTGTGCACCTATGCCTGGCTCAGATTTTTGCTACTTTAGCTCACACAATTGCGCCTGTGAGATACTGAGTTCATTTTGATATATGGTGTGAGGTAGGGCTTTTTTTTGTTTGTTTTTTAACTTTGAGGCTGGGATCCCCACATAGGCCAAGCTGACATATGTAGTCAAGGCTGGCCTCAAACTGTCAGTCTTCTTGCCTTAGTCTCCCAGGTGATGGGATTACAGGCATGCAACACCATGTCCACTCCAAATTTATCCTTATCTGTATAGCTATTGTAAAGAGAGATCTCAGAAAAGGTTATTCTTTGGTTCAGCATCATCAAGTAGACCCTGGGATCTTTTGAGGGAAGAGAGCCCTGCATGGTCTTCATTAAACATTCATGACCTGGACCAAACTACAGAGACGGTAGATTCTCAGGCCCAGCAGTGCAACAGCCTTATAGCAGTTGCCAGTATATCGCTGTCTAGAGCATGAGTTCACCAATTAAAGTTATGAAAAACAATCTGTAGTGTGATGGTATGTGTGTGTCTGTATGTGTGACAGGATTTAACTATGTTATAGTACTGGCTGGCCTGAAACTTGCTATGCACACAAGCTGGACTCAAATTTGTGGCAATCCCTCTGCCTCTGCCTCCCCGTGTGCTGGGATTATGTGAATGTGCCAGCACACCTGGTGCAGTTTTGTTTTTTGTTGAGACAGGGTTTCTCTGTGAGGTCCCGCCTGTCCTTGAACTCACAGAGATCTACCTGCCTCTGTCTCTGAATGCTGGGATTAGAGGGGTGTACCACCACTGCCTGGAAAATCCATCTTTTTAAAGACATGTAGAAAATAAACTTCAAATGTTAATCAATGGCTAGGTAAAGTTCGGTACAGTCACACAGTAAATTGTACTGCTACATGCTATAATTTGTATGAACCTATGCTATACTGAGTTGTTGTGGAATATTTATTTACACTTTGAAGATGCATCTTTGCCATGGCGCCTTTTGATTGGTTTAATAAATAGCTGAATGGCCAATAGCTAGGTAGGAAGAGGTTAGGTTGGACTTCTGGGGACAGAGAGGACTCTGGGAAGAACGGTGGAGGAAGCAGCATGAACAACACAAAAAGAAGCCACATGGTAAAATGTAGATTAAAAAATGCAGGTTAAGGGCTGGAGAGATGGCTCAGCTGTTAAAGACTAGGCTCACAACCAAAAATATAAAAAATGCAGGTTAAGCCAGGCTGTGGTGGCACATGCCTTTAATCCCAGCACTTGAAAGGTAGAGGCAATTGGATCTCTGTGAGTTGGAGGCCAGCCTGGTCTACAAATTAGGTTCCAGGACAGCCAGGACTGTTACACAAAGAAACCCTGTCTTGAAAAAACAAATAAAATAAAATAAAAGCAGTTTAATTTAAGTTATAAAAGCTAGTGGGACAAGCCTAAGCTAAGGTAGAACTTTCATAATTAATAAGTCTCCATGTCATTATTTGTAAGCTGGTGGCCCAAAGAATAATTTGATTATACTGTGTGAAAAACACCAGTCACACAAGGCCACACTGTGTGATTCCTTTTCTTTTATATGATGAATCTAGAACCCAACCAATGCAGAGGTGGCTGCTCACCAGGAGATGAAGTGATTATTTGGTTTGTTTGAGAGAATATGTACACATGTATGTGTGTGTGCATATATATATATATATATATATATATGTATATACTGAAAGATCTGCAGCGGGGGTGAACCCTCATGCCCCGACTCAGGAAAGGCGCCCCCCCCCACCAAATCACTCACGAGAAGCGGTCTTGATGCAAAAGCATGAGGTCTTTTATATTCCAGTGCACTGGGGTCCACACAGCCATACTCCACTTGGGGTAGAGGACTGTGAACCCTGGGTACAGGGTTCAGACAGCTTTTATAGGGTTACAACAAAGCCTGCGCATCACAAACCAATCATCTCATAACATCCAGTGTGGACCAATCAATTTGAACTATCCAAGCCAGCGCTTAGCCCAGGAAGTCTGCTTTTGCTAGGGCTTCTGGGTAGTGTGACAAGGCTCATTTTTTTTTTTTTTTTTTGTTTTTTTTTTTTGTTCATTCACTCACAGAATGTGACCTTTTGCCTACTCACTGCTTGGGGGCAGAGTCTAGGGAGAATTAGGCAAAAATTTTTGTGACAAGGCTCATTTTTTTTTTTTTTTGTTCATTCACTCACAGAATGTGACCTTTTGCCTACTCACTGCTTGGGGGCAGAGTCTAGGGAGAATTAGGCAAAAATTTTCCATCCTTACAATACAAATCTATAATATAAAGGCTTTACCCCCATATAACTGATCTGTACACAACACAACATTGAGTATACTAAATGTCATTGAATTGCATACTTAAAGATGGTTGGGGGATTTATCCCTAGTATAGGAATGGCTTTTGGGAGCCCATCCCACATAGAGGGATACTCTCTCAACCTAGACACATGAGGGAGGGCTAGGCCCTGCTCCAAATGATATGACAGACTTTGAAGACTCCCTGTGGAAGGCCTCACCCTCCCTGTGGAGCAGAAAGGGGATGGGATGGGGGTTGGGGAGCAGGGGAGGGAGAGGGAATTGGGATTGACATGTAAAACAAACTTGTTTCAAATTTAGATTTAAAAATAAGGAAAAAGAAAAAGAGAGAGATGGTTGGGGGACTGGATCGATGGCTGAGCAGCTAAGAACATTTGCTGCTCTCCCAGAGAAACTGAGTTTGGTACCTAGCGCCCATGTCAGGTGGCCCAAAACTGCTGTAACTTTAACTTCAGCAGATCCCACACCCCTGGCATCTTCAGGACCTACATATACACAGAAACACCTAGAAATAGATATTAAAAAAAAAAGATGGTTAGGGTAGGACAAAGTAGTACAAGTCTGTAATTCTGGTACATAGAGGTTTGAGGCAGGAGGATCATGAGTTTCTTTTCTTCTTCTTCTTCTTTTTTTTTTTTTTTCCTTGAGACAGGGTTTGTCTGTGTAGTCCTGGCTGTCCTGGAACTCACTCTGTAGACCAGGCTGACTTCAAATTCACAGAGATCAGCTTGCCTCTGCCACCCGAGTGCTAGGATTAAAGGCCACCATCGCCAGTAGTTTCTATTTTTAAATATGATTCACATGTATTTATTTATTATCTGTGTTGGTGTGTGTATTTAAGTTAATCATAAATCATATGTGGACACCCGATGACAACTTTCAGGAGTCAGGTTTCTCCGTTCATCATGTAGGTTCTTAGGATAAAATTCAGGTTATTCAAGTTGGTAGCAGATGTCATTACCTGCTCAGCCATTTTGCCAGCCCCAGAATCATGTGTTTTGATGCAACCCAGGCTACTTAGTCAGACTTTGTCTCAAAAAAATAAAGGTTAGGGCTGGGTGTGCAGCTCAGCAATGGAGCCCTTGACTGGCATGTTCCAGGCTCTTCTCTGATACCTCTCCATCTTGAGAACGGTGTTCCCACTGATGTTAATCAGTTGGTGTGCACTTGGGAAGGTTTTCCAACAGGGACAGCTGTAGCACTCCTATAGGGCCAACTACTTCCTGTGTCTGAAGGTCAGAGAATGGAGCTGTGAGGGAAAATTAATAACTAAAAGGTACAGGACTTATGGCAAGAAGGGAAAAGTAAAAAGAACAAAAGTTTCTGCCAATAGATAACTCCCTGACTGGAGAGTACAGAGCCCTTATGCTGTTTT